TTACTAATTCACCAACGTCACTTTAGAGCTAGTGTTTGAATGACTCTATATGTAATGTCGGAAGGAATGACAAAACAGATGATTTTGCTCACACTTTAAGATTATAAGGCTGAACGTGACATGAAATGCCATCCATCTACAGAGATATCTTCTTAAAGTGTTACAGTCTACAGTATTTCTCTGTTTTGATCAGGATATCACAATAATTAATCCTGAAAAAAAGCAATGCAATCACTACCAAGACTGCTGTTTTGTTTGCGATAAAGAAAAACGCTAAACACGTGCGAACTTTGCTTCTTTTTGTCTGCCAACACAACACACATTCCTGTTATGTCGGCAAATCGGCATAAATACAGCACTACAACATACAAAAGAGAGAGATCGACTTAAAATATTACTTACAAAACATAATATTACTGCCAACATGTCTCTGAAAATCCGGGAGACTGGGGTGTTCGGAGGTGATTTCTCTGACACTGTTGAGAGCCGGGATAGGATGAAGCGGGTTTTGGGCGGCCACCTTGATCGGGTACTGTACCAAAGTTGGGCAACCCTGGGGTGTTTACAGACTGTACCAAAGAGGGGGGAGGGTGAAATTATGGGAGTTTTCCGGAAAAAATAAAAACAGGATGGTTGCTGGAGATTGGTCTGAAACACGGGATACTCCCATTAAAAACAGGAGTGTTAGGAGGTATGCTTATCAGTTTATTAATGTTTTGATCTGCTGTAGTTAGAAATCAGACTGTTATAACCTTCTAAGCGTAAGGGCTTATTATGCGGTTCTGTCACCATCTTGTGGATAGAAAACGTCAACCATCTTTGGTCTACATTATGGCAGGCTTATGGTCGCCAACGAGCTCTCTCAGCAATTGTAAATATTTTTAAATAGGCACTATTTTTACAAATAAACTGCATAGTTGCAATCTAAAAAACTACATTCTCGACTTAAAAAGCCTCAAAAGTAAAAAAAAAAAAAAAAGAGAATAAAGAAAAAATGTCAGATCTGGGCCTTCAAAATTTTTTTGAAGGAGGTGGGCCTCGAAGTAAAAAGGTTGAGAATCTGTGCGCTAGAGACGTCTGCTGTTCTGAGGTCAGCTGCAGATGTGAACGAATGGTGGAAGAAAGTAGTTCCTTATACAAAAGGATTTTTAGATTCTCCATGTTTGACTTTCTTTTTTTTATACACGATTATGCCGTTGATCTGTTAACTGTTAAACTCGTAGCAGTGTGATAGCAGTATATTGTCACTGGTGGGACAATAAAGCATGCCTCCTACCAGTGCCGATATACAGCCATATATACAGCCATATTGCACTGCTACTCATGTGCTCATGTGATGTTGCTCATTTATGCAGCCTCTGAAAACCTGATCAAGCTAAATCCAAGTTCTGAAGACATAGTTCACCCAAAAATGAAAATATACGCACCAGTGGGCTACATGCACAGCTAGTGTTTTTCAGCCAATGATAAATTTACGGTGAAAGCTTAATGTGACTATTTTCAATTTCATATGGTTTCTTTTGATGTTGTAATTTAAATGCAATACATTCAGTTGAATAGACCTAAGCGTTCATTTAGTTGTTCAAGCTTAAAACAAGATGAAGGGCCGTGTAACCACTAGCGCTGTCAGGAGCTAAAACAGGAGCTGAAACAGGAGCTGAAACTCAATTTAAAAACACTAAGGTCAAATAAACTGTCACAGTTTAAAGACATAAAATATAGGGGGAATGGAATTGAATGCAGTGCTTCTTGTCTGGTCTGAGACCCACATTATATCATATATCAATCAGGCATTGAAGATCACTGATTTTTTAACAAAATAGATCTTAAACGTGGCAATTGTATAATGTAAAGACAGTTCACCGGAGGTGCTGAGGCTGGCTGGCTGAAATTAAAAGTCTGTAAACCCCATTACACATCCTCAGGTGGTTTTAAATATTTATTGTTTCAATCTTCGGCAGACCGCAACGAAACATAACTCGAAGAAAGAAAAAACTCTAAACATTGACATTCATAGTAGGATAAACAAATACTATTGAAGGCAATGGTTACAGGTTTTCAGCTTTTTAAAAATATCTTATTTTGTGTTTAAAGAAGAAAGAAACTCAGACCGGTTTTGAACAAACGAAGGAAGAGTAAACGATGACATATAATTAAACTGCCCTCTTAACAGTACTGCTAAAAATACTTTATTTATCAATTAGACATATTAGTTTTATACAACTGCTTTAAATCAAATTTAATCTATAGGCCTACCGAAATACTTCTCTCATTTAGAACATTAGATATACCTTCATTAAGCTCTTTATTAAGCAAAAAGTATCATTTTCAGAGCACATATAAATATAATAAAACCAATTCTGTCAAACCGATGCAAAAAAATAAGATACAACTCACTTTTAAATGAAGAGCACATCGTGTAAATAGTACAGACCCAATCTGTATTTCAGTTTTCTTTCTTGCCAAAATATAAGTTTCGTTTACGCTTCATAAAGGTGCTTGTTCTTTCGTCAAGGAAGTTTTATTTGGTGAAGACTCCCATCTTCAGGAGACACAAGAAACTGCATGACTGAATCAGTACAGCTAATGGAGAAACTGTGCAGAGGCTTGTCCTGTTTTTTTCTTTCTTTCTTTCTTTATCGGAACGTACAAAAATATACAAAAAAGGTAAAATCCTATATCGACAAAATAGACAACAGAACAAAGCAAAACAAAGTGAAAAACATAAAATTATGCCAGGGGTAAATTGCAATAAATCTGTCTTAAAGCATTATCACAGTGATGTAAATGTCACATAGAATACAGTCAGCTGGGTATTATAGAAAAGAGACAATACTGTAAGATTCACATAGTGTTATTGATTTTAAAGCTTTAACATTGCTGGAGGTCGAGATTGTATCCAAATAATATTTCTAATCTTTCCAAAAATAAGAAACAGGGGCTTTACAAACAAATATTTGCATTTGAGTATAAAAAAATTTGCTAGTAAAATAAATTGATTATTACAAAATATGTATCTTTTACTTTATTAACACGATAAAAACCACATAAAACATCCTTGTATAACAAAGAAAAAATATCTAAAAGAGAAGCACATATAAATAAACTGAATTCTTTCCAAAAAATCTTAACATGGACGCATTACCAAAAATTCCTCAAAAGAGATCCTCAGGAATCTTTTTTTTATATAAACATTCACCGGATAAACTCGATGTATCCATTTGAAGGAAACCTCTTTAACCTCTTCAAAGTTTGTGATTAAAAATTCTCGTCATCCTGTCTATGGTCCTGCTCCCTTTCTCTGGGTGTCACCATAGGCGGGGCTTGACGGCCCAAATCACATCTTAAAATAAAGGGGTGAAGTTTGTCATATTAACCTGTATCTCTCCTGTTGTCCAGGAAAATGTTTCTTGTGTTATTTTATTGCACAAAAATGGCATATCTCAGCAAACACATAACGTTCCCACAACATTCTTATTTGGTTCCAAAAAGATAACCAAAAGGGAACCATATGGGAACGTTAGGGGAAGGCTATGTGTTTTCTGTACAGTAAAAAATAGATGATCAATTAGTCCTGACAGCATATGTTTTAAGGTCATTGTAACTTACTAAGTTTATCAAGTTCTAATTTAATTTTATACATGAGCTGTTGTCAGATTAATAGATTAACGTAAATTAATCTATAAATAGGCTATTAATGTAAGTTCAATGGATAAGTTTAATTTGATTTGACTTAAAAATTTAAGGCAACGAAGAGTTTTTTTACAGTGTGGGATTACATTCATAAAACTTGTAAGCCGCTAGGATGAATGTGTTGATCTTTTCTCATGAAGAATTTATTCATCAGTTTTTTCTTTCCAGTTCCCCCAAAGAATATGCCATTGTTTTTGAAGCAATGCCTGATTTTGTTATACCTTGAGTCAAATCTGGCCATGAAGGCTCTTTAGTTTCTTTATTTTTTACAACACAAACCTATTTGTTGACCAAACTCTTCTCAGTTTTATGTTAAACAAAGATATTTGCTAGTTAATAATAATTCTCGGATCTCTTTACCTGCCTGCACATAGGTTTTTGGAATAATATATTTGGTGACATAGATTGGAAACAGTTTTGGCTTCTTTGGAAAAAAAAATATATTTTTATCTCATAAAGCTGTCGAAGTCTCAGTCAAAATCATTCATAATTGCTACCATTAAATACCAACTTACTGTAAAGTGTTTTGGGATGACTTTTCCAATTTCATTAAAACATTCTTTTTTCCAGACTTCTGTATTTCCCCAAAAACTATATACTTTGGTTACTCTCTGAACACAGATCCTTCTCATTGTAAATCTATATACTTTATTACTTTTTCTGGCTAAATTTTACATCCATAAATGTGCATTTTTAAAGAAACACCCTTATTTATTATTTTCAGAAAGGATTTTGATTTGTGAACTCATTTTCATTCATTCATTTTCTTTTTGGCTTAGTCCTTTCACTAATCTGGGGTCGCCACAGCGGAATGAACCACTAATTTATCCAGCATGATTTACGCAGTGGATGATGCCCTTCCAGCTGGCAAAATGATGAGGCAGAAATAATAGAACTCATTTCTGGAAAATGCACAGGCCTATAATATTTCTAAATAAATACTGACATTTGTCGATTAATTAAGGTCATCAATGTTATATGGGTGCCATCTGGGAACAACTCGATGTTTTGTAATGGATTTTCACAATTTCAGTCTGAAGGTCTGGTCTTATGCAATAAAACATATATCCTACATAATATTAAACACAGACCTAAAAAGATGTATGTTGAGCGGAGAAGAAGGTCTAAAAACGGACCAGCACCATTTATTTTTGGCTGCGAGGTTCTCCAACTACGCCATGTTCTTCTTCATTGTAAAGCACATCTGGAACGGCGCTGGTCGGCTGTACTCCACAGACGAGCGTTTGTAGGTCAGCGAATCTGGCACACGTACAGCCGTATCGCTGCGTGTCGCTGCAGAGCTCATCTTCGGCTTTATCTCGACTTAAAGGAGACGCAACAAAGAGCGACAGCGGAGGGCCCTGCTAACAGCGTGGCTTACTATAGCTTTAAGAACTTTAAATAGGCTCTGGGTCTTTAAAATGAATTTTGCACAGTTATTATAGGGAGAATAGACTAAGTTTAAGATTTACGCTACTTGCATTTTTGCACCAAATTTGCAAAGGAAGTACGAGCGTCCACTAAATATGTTTGCCAATCGTATCGGGGCGGTTAGCCAGCCAACATTTTTCATAATTAATGCCTCCTCTTTATTTCACACTACGATTCAATTTGTTGAGAATTTCTGAGGTTTTCGGAAATAAGAGGAAAAAACTTCGGTAGTGATGGAGCCGCAGCTCTCGAGCAACAAAGAGGAGACGGAGAGCGAGACGGCCATAGAGAAATCCGCGGGGCAGAGTACCGCATCCAGCCCGTGCAGGGCATCCAGAGGACGCGGAGACGGGTGCTTCAACACCGAAGTGACCTGCCCACCCGAAACCAACGGAGCCGCGACAAGCGCCACGGGATCAGGAAGGGTTTTACGGGACAGGTCAACGCGGACGATCCCCGTGTGGAGGCAGACTGACATCAGCGAGGACCTGGCTGAAGTGTCACGGGACGCGTCAGGGAACCGCCGGAGGAAAGCGAAGTGCCCGCGGCGCAGGAAGAGCCCAGCAGCCGCCGCAGCCTCATCGGATGCGGGCAAAGACAGCGGCGGAGACTGCGACCTGCTGGATGAGTACGTGCCGCTTCTGTGTATTTTAGTGCTAAATAACAAGGCCTCGTTTGTGCAGATCCTACTAATGATGCTTAGCAGTTTTGTGAGTGTGTTCCTGTCACACATTCAGTCGTAATGTTGACAGACTGCAGTGTTTACATTAGCCCCAGTGACAGCAGCTCTTTCTGAGCCACTAGTTAGTTGGGCTGAAGAAATCTCAAACGCCTCATCTTTGACACTGCAAGGAGAATGTTTCAAAGTAAATAAAACAGCCTGTTTCTCCATCTTATGACAGGTTTGAAGAAAACAAGGATGCGCTGGTTAATCGAGGTACTTTAAATGACATTCATTTTGTTAATGAGCATTTAAAGGAGGCTGCTAATGGCCTGTTATTATTAGACAATCTTTGTTTCTTAATGCAAAAGTGACTAGTGTCTCTTTCAATGTCACTAGGTTTCAGTTGTTAACATTATTAATTTAAATAAACAATGAAAAATAGCCTGGCAGCAATTCTAATCTTTACCCTCTAACTGTCCCACAAAGAAAAAAATGTGATTGAATTTCCTAACTCATAATGTCGCTAGTTAACACGATCAATGCATTTTTTTTTCAACACATCCCATAATTTCTAAAATATTAACCTCTACCAAATGTTGACAAGTCGGTTTATGGTAAAATTACCAGAATATATACCTATAATACTAAAAATCTGAAAATATTTAGTGTAAGATCAAATTATATAAACAAAATAAAACATTTTCAATAAAAATCATCTTTATTTGTGAAGTATGCTATAAAATTTTTCAGATTCATATTTAACATGTTTTCTTTTTACAATAAAATCAAAATCAAGTGTAGAAGTGCAACAGGATTATTTTTGTTAGATTTTTTTATTATTATTATTAACCAGCAATGCTGTGTGTGTAAACCATTACTTAAAACAGTCGAAATACGGTCAACCATTTGGTAGAGCAGGCAGTTAAAGGGTTCATTTTCATGTCTTCATTTACCTGCATATTGTTAAAAATAAAGATCAATTTTACTTCATTGTGGACTAACAAGCTATGAAAATTACAGTTAAAAATGTACTAAGGCTAATAAATGCTGTTCTCACATATTTCATAGTTTTGTGTTGTGACTAATGCATTTATGTTAACAAACGAGATATAATTGTGTTACTCTTATTTCTTTAGTAACTAATGGCTATCCAATATTTTAGCTTTTACTTATGTCTATTATTAGTTAATGTACTAGTAATAATGTTTATTAGTAATTTCCCATGTCTGTAGGTGACTTACTTTATACATGTAATGTGTAAATGGAGAATTACAAATAATACTAGTAGGCCTGTCACGATATCTATTTTTGGTGGTGTGATATATAGCAACTATATTTATTGCGATAAAGGATATTAGTTTAATTTTAAGACCATTTTGACACTATAATTGCATCATAATGTTAGCACTCCTCCAAAGAACACATCATATGTAATTCTTAAAAATATTTAATTTAATTTAATTATAGCCGTTTTAACAATTTAATCATTTGGCATTGGAATCAGGATGTGAAAATGGATGTATTAAATCAATAAATAATAATATTAAGATAAAAAGAACTATAAGTAACAAATCTATTTTTAGTCATCAGACACCCACATGAAAATATACTATAGTAATTTATAGTACATACTATATCTTTTTTTTAACAGTACTGACTAGTGGTGTAATGGATCACAAATATCACAGTTCTGCCAAAAACAGCACTTTAAGACACTTTTGGTTTTAACAAACAGAACATAGAAACTGTAATTTAAAAAATATATATATAATGAAGAAATAATCAGCTGATAAAAATGAAATAGTCAAATATTCAGTTCTGTGAAAAATTCACTGGTACTACTACTGTTGCTGATAACACTAAATGTAGAAATTTAACATTATAATTTGTACAAACCATATTTATTTTTAGTCTCATTTTCAATAATTAATTCAGTTATTCACTTCATGTTTCATTGCTAGATGTGTCATTTTTGAAAAAGTTGATTATTTTTGATGGTCGGTTGACGCCATCTACTGGTTAAATAATGTAATTGCTGCCTACAACTTTCATTTTTGAGCATCGGTAAATGCATATGATGGTGATTGTAAAAAGCCTAAATGCTTTCATATATGTGATTCAAATGACACAAGAGGCGATCTCTCTGCAATCGTTACAAATTTGGAATTAATCTACCAGTTAAAAAATGTTAATAATCCCGTGGTCAAGTGTGTTCCAAACCGTTGGTTGTGATCCATAAGAATCACAGATCAACCGTAATCCGTTACACCCCTAACACTGACACGTCCTAAAGAGATAGAGAAGCTGCGCAATCAGCTAAAATCTAAAATGTGTCTTATATATATCAACAAAAATGATTAAGGACATGTACACGTGTTGTGTTATAAGTTGATATATTGATTATTATGACATGCCTAATTTCAAGTTGAATTAAACCCATTACTACTTGTTATAACAAATCTAGTAAATGGGTATTGATTGGAATTTAAAGTAGTAAGAAGAGAATAGTAATCTGAATGTCTGGTGGTAACCACAATTATGTTGTATTTGTTCAAATTAGTTCAGTGAATTAAAAACTTATAATGTAGTAATGACAGTTTTATAGCATTTCAGTCCTATTTTAATTGCAACCTTTACTAAAATCCAAACTTGAATCTAGTAATATGATTGAATGGACCTGAACAAATAGGAAATAACAGTAACAATGAGTGTTTTATTAACCCAATGTTTTAACAAAGAAATATATTGCTTTTTGTCAATTCTAGTCAACAAAAGATCATTATTGTTAAGTATTATTGAATATATACATTTAAAATCAATGAGTAAAAATTACAATATAAAACCAAAATAATTTTATTGGGACAGAAAAAAAACAACAAAAAATATATGCCAGTGTTTAATAAGCATATTCTAGTGACACTTGAATCGATACTAGTTACTACTAAAATATTAAAGTACAAGTATCAGAAGAAACAGATCTGATTGTGCTTGATGTGACTGTGTTCTCTTCCAGCGGCCCGCGGCCGACGGGTGCAGGTGCGCTCAGGGGCCCGCACCTGCCGGGGCTCGCCTAGGACTGTGTTTAAAAGTGAGCCAGAAATGGACGTTGACTATGGTACGCTGCTGAGCTTTTAAATGTAGTTGACTTAACAGGTCCACTTCGAATGCTTGACTGATAACTGATTACAAATCTTATTTATATAAATAAATAACTTTAATGGTACATTTTGCTTGCAGTGGAAGCCAATAAAGCAGTCGAAAAGACAGGAACAAGGTGATTGCACATTTATCATGGACACTTTCTCATGAAAGACCCCATGAAATCAGAGTTTTGTGGCGTCTAGATGCAAAATGGGTTTATAACATCTTGCATTCCCAAATACTTCACAAGCAAAAGCCAGAAACACGGCACAATTCATAGCTTGAATGTAAATTAACATCAATAAGCTGGTTATTACAGAGTAAAAAGAAATACAGTCAATATATCCCCCATTTTATTACAGGATAGAAACAGTGCTCATTAAGCCATTTCTTGGGGTCTTTAAGGACAGTGTTTCTCAACCACCTTTCTGGAGGGCCACCAACACTGCATGTTTTAGATGTCTCCTTTGCCAGTCACACACATTATAGTGATTTTAGTCTCTGCTAATAAGCTGATGATCTGAATCAGGTGTGTTTGGTTAAGGAGACATAAGGTGCGTTCCAAATCGCATGTCATTTTGTTTTTTAAATAGTATAAGTAGTGCATTCACACTGAAAACTCTTTAAATAATAAGTGCACTTTAAATACCTGAATGATGCACTTACTACTTAATGTTGGGCACTAGGGCTGCACAATTCTGGCAAAAATGTGTATCACAATTTATTTTGCTGAAAATCAAGATCACGATTTTCTCACGATTCTGTAAATGTAAAATAAAGGTTAATATGATTAGCCTATTATTATCGTTAATTCTCAAACATATGGTAAAACAACAATAATAATATTAGGCCTATATGTAGGTCTACTGTTGCTTAATGCTAAATTTGCGTAGTCGTTATGGTGGACTTGAACAGACTTTCAGTATGTCCTGTTTGTTAATTGACAGTAAAATGATGACATCAGAATACAAATATTCATATTTATAAAGTTGATTTATTATGTTTAAGACATGTGCTTGTCATCTCATTAACAACATTATTAGACCATTTGTTTTCACTGGTAGAATTAGAATTTTGTCATTATCAGATTTGATTATCAGATTTACTTTCATTTCCTAGTGCGGCTCAAGGCTGCTGTCACTGAGAAAAACACACACATGCAAATCAAACCTCCCGCTTTGTCCTCAAACGATCGTTCTGTACAACAAACTGAACGTTATTTACAACTTTATTACCTGTTATTCACAGCCTATGCAGGTTCTGTTCACTAAAGTATGCATCATTCGTGCACATGCGCGTTCTCGGAAGTAAACAAACACCTCGCGTTCAGCTCACGTGTGATTTCGCGGCCATGAATCATTACATGAAGACAGAAATGACATTTTTGGGAAAATTATACTTTATAAATACAGTATGTGACACTTTTAACGCCATTTGAAGGTGTCAATGTTGCTGTGAAGAGTTGTGCAACTGCCTTGCTTCTCTCCTGACCTTGAAAAATAATTGGCTGAATCGTAAAAAAAGCTGAATTAAGATCGTGTGTAGGGTTGCGTCGAGATTGTGATTTTTTTTCTCGATTAATCCTCAGCCCTATTGGACACTTCCAGCACTCAATAGTAAAGCTGAAAGTGCCGGAAGTGCAATATGCGCATCAATATAGCAGCATTTTTATGACACTGTATAACAATAATTCATATTTTACAGTACTTTAATGGTAGGGTTTAGGCTTGTGGTGGAGATTGGCGTTAAAAAATACAATTTATTGGGTAATTTAATAGATAACATAAATAATACTCGGTACAACTACTGTTTTACAGACTGTGATGGTTGGGGTAGGGGTAGACATTAATAAAATACAATTAATGGGAAATTTATTAAATAATATAAATGACTCTCATTAACTTCCAGCCGCAACCACATCCGATCTAGCAACAACCGCACTCAGCGGCCGCTGCTTTGCTTGCGTAGCGAAAGGGGCGGAGCTTTCAGGCACTAATATTGGATTATTTATTTTGGATCGTGAAGGCAAAGTTCTTCTACGAGAGTGATTATAGCTCTTCCCGATGGTGAACGTGGTTATACTTACGGCAGGTACTATTTGGTAGTTTGGTCATTTATTTAACTAATTTGGCAAAGGTCATCAGGGAAACGGTTTGAATTTCTGCTTAGTAAAAAAAACTTTAGTGTTTCTTTAGGAATGACACTACACTTACATACTATGCTTTTGAGTGTGTGTAAGTACATAGTACATAAGTGGATAGTGTATAGTGTTCCATTTCGGACAAAGCTATGGAAAATGTGCAGAGCGGGTGGTCCTCCAGGAACGTGGTTGAGAAACACTGTTTAAGGACACTGATGGGTGCTTTTGTTTGTTTGTTTGTTTTTTGGTGTTGGTATAATAAGCCATTTGTTTGTTACTGCAATATTTTAGTGTGGAGAAGAAGGAAGAGGAGAGCATGGATGATGATGTTGTGGAAGAAGAAGAATGTCCGTTTGTGGATGATCCGAAAGATGAAAACTACAGACCCCAGTCAAATAGGTAATCTTGCACTTTTTAAAAATACTAGCAATGAGTCACTAATATGGCTTTGGATGCTTGAATATGATGGTGTCATAATCTCTTACAAATGGTTTGTGTTTTATGAATAACTGACATGGTATGTCATGTGTTTGTAGTTTCAGTAATCTCTCAACCATTACATGAAGCTTGTAAATTATACTGGGCTTATATATTCATTTGTATGATTTTCTTTTAATGAGGATTTTTTTTTTTTTTTTTTTTTTAAAGAGCATACCCAAGTAGAAACAAAGTAAGCCTTTCTGGTTATGCATAGCTTGAAAATATTAGTTGGCTGAATCTGATCCTTGTAGAAGCTCTTTGTAAAATGAATGTTGAAAGTCCTTATTCAGGAAAGTCTATAGTAAGTAAAGGATGTAAAGTAAGACTTTTGTGTCTCCAGTGTCTGTGAAGTTTCATCTCAAAATACCCATGAAGTAATTTAATATACCCTTCAGAAAATGTCAATTATTGGGTCAGAGGGAATTTTAGCTGTTTTGCGCCTGTTCCTTTAAATGAAAATGAGCTGGATCTTCCCGCCCACTGTTCGGGCATGTCGCTTCAGGATACCCAGTGTCAGACGTCAGGATAAACACAGCACAATGACGGACAGCAGCTCAGACAGTGATGAAGCAGAGAGCAGCTCACAAATACCACAGTAAGACCGAACCAGGAAGTGTCCCAATGGTTATTTGATGTAGCTCTTGTGGAGTTTTTTTTTTTCAGCCTTTCTGCAACAATGAATAAGCCACGAATAAATGCCGTTATCAAGAACGCTGTGCACACTTACACACATAGACGTGATTAACATATTGTATTTTTATTTTGCACAACTACTTGCGTCTAATGTGCTCAGGATGCTCAACATACAAGTAAATAAATGTTGCTGTATGTGAATTCATTATCGCTACTATATATGGCTACTAGGGCTATATGGTTTCAGCATCGATATCACAATGGGATAATTCGCAGTAGTTACATTGCGAGTATATGCAATCTTGAGTCTGGATTATAATTTAGCATTTTTCAAGTGTTTTTCGAGGCCTGTGAGGGGTTTAAAAGCATTCAGGCATAAGAAAATGTACTAAAATTGTAACTAAAATAAAAACAAATAACGATTAATTTTAAGCTGTTTATGAAAACGAAGACTAAGCAGTATTATTTTACATTTGATTATTCAATTACTGTATACCTGAATAAATGTTGACTCCTTGGAAAACACTGTTTATTTAATTAGCATATTTTTATTTATTGAATTTATCTACACTTGTATATTTTTTACTATAATTTATGCACTCCCCTACAGAATCTTCAAAATCAATCTAAAATTATAGACTCTTTACAAACATGTATTCAACTCAATTGCAGAAATAATAATAAAAAATAATAATAAAAATCGCAGAATAAAAAAAGTGTCACAATGTGTTATTTTTTCTATATCAAGCAGCCCTAATGGCTATCCTGTTGTGTGATTGAAGCATCCTCCTTTATAGTTGTACTAACACAATGCATCTGTTGTGATTTATGCTGTTAATAGTTACATTAATTTTACAATCGTATATTTTAATAAAAACATGCACCGTTTTAAAGATGTTTGATGATGTTTTACTGTTTTTGGTGCCATCTTTTAATCCAGTTTACTTTGCAAATCTTGTTTTGTGGATATAATAATACACATCAATATTGAGGCCAAAATGCAATCTTTATCATTTTTTTTTCCATATTAAACGATAATGATATATAAATTTCTACATATGTTGTTAATGCTTCCAGATTTAAAAGATTACCCCAACAATGACTGTAGCCACAAAAATTAGAGGATCCATTAAAACATATTTTTGGCCAATAAAGTTTTGGTGGACCAAAGTTCAGTGCATCTGTAATATCAATAGCGGTTAACACTTTATAGAGGAATTACTTTAAAACTGCCTGTTGGTGGTGTAGTTCTATAATTATATGAAAGATTTAACAAAAACGTCAGAGAAGTCGCATCTTATAAGCAGACTTCTGCCTTGTTTTTGTGACACACTCGATAATATCACCTCACACATCGTTTAAACAACAATCACATTATCATACACCACAATTTTCACACCTCTAGTGATGCATTAGATATTGTTGGCAACTGATTATAGCCTGATGCTAATGTTTTTATCTCTTTACCAGTGAGGGAGAGGAAACCATCAGCAGCGATGAAGACGTCCCATTTAGAGATGACTTGAATGACCAGAGCTACGATCCCAAGTATGAGAGGTGCACGTGTGTTTGGTTTATTGAAAGTGTCCTTTCTTACTCTTTCAACATTTCTGTTGTGTTCCTGTGCAGGGATTTTTCTAAGTCTAAGAGGAGACCTCATACTAGACTGAAGGAGAAGAAAGACAAGCCTACAGTGCAAGAGACGCCAACAGAGCAGGAGACCGAGATCAAAACTGAAGGAGGGGAAACCACAGAGGAGCAGACTAGGGCTGAAGTGGAGGAAGGTGCTGAGCCACCCAGAAAGTGAGTCACTTGTGCTTTATACATTTGTGATGGAAATAGAACATAACATTTCAAAGACTTTGTGACATGAGTGAAACATTTTGGCTGCCTCTGAAATTGCACACTTTTATACTATATAGTACAATAAAAGAAGTGTGTGAGCCGAGTAGTGTGTCAGAATTCATAGAATTCGAAAAACAGTATGAGATGTTCCTGAATGAACTAGTACTGGCGAGATTCTGAAGTGCGCCGATGATGCACCGCAGCGCAACTGACACAAGTAGGTCACATGATCATGACAAAATGATGGATGTAGTACGTTCAAGTTCCATTCATACTGCTTACATTCATACTGTATAGAACGTACTTTTCTAACGGCTGAGTAGTAGTACATTTTAATTCAAATGCAGTACCTAGTAGGCGATTTCAGACGCAGCCGGTGTTTGCTCATGAGATTTACAGTTCACGTTCTCAGTTAGACACACTTGTGAATGAGAAATCAATTTTAACCTCAGGACCTTCTTTGGTTTTTGTCTTAGAAGAGGGCGCAGAAGGAAAGATGATAAAAGTCCTCGTCTTCCTAAGAGAAGGTAACAAAGTTTTGTTTGATGAATACTGATGAAGTTTTGAACCATGAAGTCACAGAGTGAAATCATAATGATTCTTGGGAAAGACTATATTGAAAGTGCCATAGAGTGCATTGATTCAGCATGATAAGTTGTTATTTGGTTTCTAAATAGTAGATACAGTTGAGGAAAAATTAAAAAACTGCTTTTATTCAGTAAATAAAACAAAAAAGACTTTCTTCAGAAGAAAAAAATATTGTCAGACATGCTGTGAAAATTTATTTGCTCTGTTTAACACAATTTGGGAAATATTTAAAAAAAGAAAAAAAAATTCAAAGGGGGCTAATAATTCTGACTTCAACTGTATGTGGCTTAGATAAAGGGGCTCAACAATAAGGACTGCCCGATGGCCTGGGGCCAGCATGCGAGCCGCTCGGGACAGTACACTGGATCGTTACTGGCCCAATTGGGCCAGTGCTGTCTTGTCACTAAAGTTTAATTTGGCTGCGACTGTTTGTCAGTTGCGTGCATATAGGGAGCATTCACACCTATACATTTGTTTCAGAACCTGTCTCATTTTCCCTGTTAGCACAGTTTATTTGGCAAATGTGCATCCTGCAATCGCACTCTGATCCCTGCCAAATCAATCGATCCAAGACCGCCTGAATGAGGTGGTCTCGGCTCGATTGAAAAGGACTCTTGAGTGGATCGATTGTATTGAGAAAGCGAAACAATCCAACGAACCAGAGTATATCCCAGTGTATTATGGTTGTGTAATAGTCAAATATACAGCCATATGAAGAGATCTCGCCCTTATGAGTCGGGCGAGATGTCATTCCTACCAGTAAATGTGAGTTTCATGTCAAATACGAAAGTGAAAGCATGCTGATGTATTAGAGTGCTGTTTATCCATTAGGAAAATTGACCTAAATTACTATCTGATCATTTTTCCATATTTTAATCTTATAATATTTTGTGTTAGGCCTATTGTTTTATTTCTGCACTGACACCTCGAAAGAAAGATCAACATTGATTTGCTTCTTGATCAGACTGCAGGTTTAGTTCATCGTTAATTTCTCTCTATAATGTAAGCCTATAATGCATAATTCTGGCCAATGGTTTTTTAAAGATTGATTGATTCAAAAGGTAGATTTTTACAAAACTTGACAACTGAAATGAGGCTGAATGAGAAAGTCTTACCTCTGTGATCTATATTTAGTGACAATGTCTGTGGGTGGCAAAATTGAAGTGCACATTTTAGCTGTTGGGCTTTTGGCACATTATTTAAATTATGTTGCTAAGAAATAGCTATTAACTTCTTTTATTTTTTGGTGGGGCCTGTGAAAATTTTGGCAGGGCAAGTGAAAATCTGAATCACTTGTTCGATCAAGCCAATAGATAAATCCTTAGCATTGAACCCTGGATAAGTTCAAAAATTCTCCTGAAACAATTCCATATGCTCATTTTTAAGCACAGGAATTACCCCTAAAATTAAAAGCGCAATTTTGACCATATTTGGAAGGGTCATGAACAGGGCTCGACAGCAGAGTGATGCATGAAAAAAAAAGACTTCGAATAATTTTTAAAGTATTTTGTGATTATATTTGTTAGAATTTGCTCCCAAAAGTATGTGTAATTTCATAATGCAAATCTTAAATTCAAGCTAACCAACAAATGATCAAAGGAAATATATTAATGTAATTCAAATCTAAAAAAATATGAATTGATGTTACTTTAAACAAAAATTATATTGTTCTATCAAAATTATTTTTTAAAAGATTTTGTCAAATAAAAGACTTTCCAGAGTCATCCACCATTAATTTTGTGGCAAAAAAGTATGGGTTCAGGCACCAATATCATTTTAAAAGTATCGATTTCGCATTGTTATCGAAAAAAAACAAACGATACCCAATCGGCTGGGTCGCGGCTTGATGACCATGTAAAAATGTGGGTCCCATGGCCAAACCAGTTGAGAACCCCTGATCTAGACGACTCCTGCTGACAAATAAGGGATTCTTTAGTAAAACAACAAGTTATTTTCAGAAAAGTAATACAAAAGTAAACACTGATTAACTATGAATCCTCTCTTTGGTCCAGCTTCACAATGCACACCCAGTTTAGTTCACAACCTCTTGTGTGATGAATGTGTGTTAATGTCACGTGTGACTTATGTTGAGTACTCTCTGAGAGAACCTTTATTTGTTTTCCGGGATTGTGTGAATTGCTTTGAAGATGACTTAATATGGATTTCTGACAATCAAATATTTTATGTTGAGCCCAGTTCACATGGATTAATGGAGAAAATCCCTGAAATGTTTACCACAAAAGCCTTAACTCCTTTTTTCAGCCGAGGAGATAAAGAAATCTGCACCATTGTCGGCCTGACAGTTTGAAAATCATCTGAAATGTTAATTGTTGGATCAACCATCTTTAATCTCATTACAGTAAACACATTGGGTGTCATTCATCAAGCATGCATACGTACAGCTGGCTAATGAGAGCTCTGCAATCTGTGTCCATTTAAAAGGTGTTAATTGTGCTTGAATTGGTTTTGTGAACGGCACACTTGGCATCACTCGTGTACGTGGCGAGAACGCGGTTGTAGAGCGCACCATATGTTTGGCGAAAGAAACAAATTGCAAGGAAGGGTGGTAGAAAGGCCTTTTGTGGTGATCATTTTGGCATGTCTTAGGCAATCGATTGACTTAGTACAAATTTTGACTACTCCAAACTATTTTTGTAAAAAAAAAATTCTGCTCAGGAAAAAACCACCAGTGCAGTATGTCCGTTGTGAAATGGAAGGATGTGGTACAGTTCTGGCTCATCCACGCTATTTACAGGTAAACCTAAATTAGTGTTTCCTTCACTGACTTATGAAGTTAGACCAGATACATTCACATAATCATTCTCTCCTGCAGCATCACATTAAATACCAACACCTGATGAAGAAAAAGTACGTCTGCCCTCACCCCACCTGCGGAAGACTCTTTCGGCTGCAGAAACAATTGCTCCGCCATGCCAAGCACCACACAGGTGAGATAGAAACGCTTAATGTGATGTTTAAAACAATGGTGAAGTATCTTCTGTTGGGTGGTTTTGTATAAAGTAAAATTTGTATTGCAGATCAGAGAGACTATATCTGTGAGTTTTGTGCTCGCGCCTTCAAGAGTTCTCATAACCTGGCTGTGCATCGCATGATACACACCGGAGAGAAGCCACTACAGTAAGTCAAATCTCTGCAGAGTAACCTGTTTATATTAATGCTGTAGTGTTGTACATAGCTACGTAGTGCACTATATGGCTGAATAGTATTAAGATATGTTTTCAGAATGAACTTTTCGTCTTTTCTGATTGTTCTTTTCAATTACTACAACGAAAATTAACATAAAACATGCAATTGTTCAGCTTTCCACAGCACAAGAATTGTACCCCTTTTCCACCAAGGCAGTTTGAGTGTTGATTCAGAGATGGATCCTTGTCCCTAATTGGTTCTTTAGGCTTTTCCACATTCCAAGTACTCTAAACCAAGATAAGTGGTTCTTAAGTAACACCAAAACTTCGCTGGGTTGTCGGTGCAATAGCCTAGTGGTTAGCGCGCCGGCATATGGTGCAATAGCACATCAGGGCGTCGCGAGTTCAAATCCTGGATCGAGGACATTTCCCTACCCTTCCCCCTCTCTCTCTCTCTCCCACTTCGCTTCCTGTCTCAACTGTCCTATCTCATAAAGGCAAAAAGGCCAAAAATAAATCTTTAAAAAAAAAAATTATCGCTGGGCTAGAAGAAAGAACTGCTTGAATCAGGGGCTGAGGGCCAGGCTCGAACCAACAACCCAAACAGAAACCATTTACAGTTCTTAATCTTGGTCCTCGTAATCCCTGCTCTGCACATTTTGTATGTCTCTAGTTTAAAGCACCTGATTTAGATAACAACCTGAAATTTACGTAATTTAAAGACAAAAATTTGCATTACTGTTTGCAGCAATCACTATTCAAATTCCATCACGGTTTTTCTGATACAAGTTAATCCCTAGGGTTTACCCACTCTGCAGACTTAACACAATCAGTTGTCCAAAGTTGGTTCATAGGCTGCTGTGTCAGTCACTCATAGCAGATAGTCAGGTACTGTTTGTGTTTGGTTGACCACCTGCTGAATCACATATGCACAGTATTATCAGTTTATCGGTTCTCGAATCAGACGCGTCCAAATAAAACAGATTCTCAAATCTGCACTGGTAATCTAAAACTGCAGCAACTGATTCTGGACTGACCGGATCGCTTAGAAGATTTGTTTGCAAATTAGCCATCACTAGAACAAACCTTGAAGAGATAAGAGAAACATATAAAATGTGCAGAAAGCGAGGAGCAGGATTGAGAACTGTTGGCCAAGCATCCATCCTTCAACTAAAACTGTATTGTACACTGCACATGATGCACAGGGTTAACAGAGGTACTTCAATTATAAGTGTAGCATGTTACTTGACTCTGTGTAAAAGCAGTGTTTAAAGAATGAAATCCCATACTTGTGGAGTATCATAGGTCCTGCATTTTAAAGCATCATGTTTGTTATTTGAAAATCAAGTTTGACATTTTATAATTATCAAAGTTTTGCAGGATATCGTAATGCCAAGTTCAGACTGCACAATTTTCAAAGTATTCGTGTCACAGATGTTTTCACGCTGCATAACTCTCAGGGATAGCGTTCTGTCGGTGCTATTTACACTGCAAGATGGATCTGCAACAAGGGGGTTCACACTGCATGACTTTACAAGAGGAAGAATTGCAGACAACTCTGTCCAAACCACATCTCAAAACCAAACATGCGCAAGAAGTGACATGGAAAACATGCAAGGTCAAGTTGTATATCTTTTGTTATTAACTACATAGTGAGAAAGAAGCCTTGAGGTAAAAAAAAATTTACTTCTTTTGCTCACCTGGCTTGAAAGGAAATTAGCAATTTCTTCATAAACTTTTTCTTTATCCACCCGGTTGTGATATTGCTGATGAAACATCAAACAGACACTGGTGCTCCTGCCAAATTTACACTAGTATTTCCTCCATTTTTGGGGTTCAAATAAAATGAAAATGAGCGCTTTAAACTTCTCCCATAACATGCTCGCTGGCAATGTCGAGTGTCGGCGACTCATCTGCGATTGTTTCAGGTCTCGTCTTTGATAGTTCACACTATGTGATTGTTACTCAAGTGAACGAGCACTGATTTGCATGTGATTTCTGCCATTTATCTGCGATTTCTCAACCTGTCGGCAAGTAAAATCGGGGCTAAAATCATGCAGTCTGAACTCGCCATTAGTCTTTTCTGTAGTATATCTCAGTATTATCTCCTTCCTAGGTGTGAAATCTGTGGATTCACCTGCCGTCAGAAGGCCTCCCTCAACTGGCACATGAAGAAGCACGATGCTGATGCCACCTACCAGTTCTCCTGCAGCATCTGCGGCAAGAAATTCGAGAAGAAGGACAGTGTGGTGGCTCACAAAGCCAAGAGCCACCCTGAGGTGCTCATTGCAGAGGCCTTGGCCGCCAATGCTGGAGCCCTCATCACCACTCCTGCAGGGGTCACCACCCTTCTGGAGACCAACACCGGCTCTGGGCAGACCGAGCAGGGGGTCTCTGAGACCCGAGGAAGCTCTACGGTGCCAGCAGGGCAAGTGGCTCCAGTGACACATGTGGGTCCAGTGATGGTTGTGGACCAAAATCACCCACTGCACTCCATGCAGGTTCCAGTGACCCTGGCCTTGTCATCAACAGAAGAAAACAACACTCCCCTTCAGCAGACCTCCTCTCACTCTCTGCAGATGCCACTACAGTTTGTTTCTTCACCTGTTTCACAGCAGCAGCAACAACAAATTCAACAGCACCCCCTCCACCCCTCTGTCACCAGCATCTCCCAACAGGCCACTCTGGTCCAGCAGCTGCCCGTTCAGTCCTACAGCCAACAATCCCCCATCGTCCACATGGCCTTCAGGGCCCTTCCTCAGCAGCAGCTCCCAATGGTTTCTGTTGCACAGCAGATGCCCCTTCAAACCACCCAGTCACATCAAAACCAAGCCCTCCCTCGACTCTCAAGCCACCACCAAGCTCCCAATACTCCCCTCCTCTCCCAAAACCTGCCCAAGGCACTATCCGACTGCAGGAGTGGTTTGGGATTTCGAAGCGATCCGAGCTCCTCTTCATCTACATCTACTCAGTCTTCCATTACGCCCTCGGAGACTAGACAGGTGATCTGGGAGGCAGACGGGACTAATGAGAACGGGGCTGGGGATTGGGTGGCAGGCGGAGAGGGGGAGGAGCAAAGCATTACGGACAGTTCTGGCAACCAGATACAGCGCGTACTGTTGCAGTGAAGGAAGTTGAAGACATGGAGGAAAGCCAGATGACTCTTACTTGTCGCCCTCCTATACACCTTGAAGTTAAATATATAGAGTCATAAATATATATTGTATGTAATCGCATTAACTTTTTGGTAGCTTTGTAGAAATGTCTGTACCAGGGAGATCGTGTTTGAGCTGTTGTCATTGTTCATTTTGTATATAAACCGTTATAGATCCCTCCAACAACAACCATCTGTTTTGTGTGTGTGTGTGTGTGTGTTGTTCTGTGGCAGTGGAGGCCTTAAAGGAATAGTTCACTATAGAACTGAAAATCTGCCTCCATTCGTTCAAGGTATAGGCGACCTTTTTTCGGTAAAATTAAAGAAGCTGAAAATTTGGTCCTTGGTGATCAACAAATTGAAGTTCTTGCAAAGACTAATCATTTAGCTTCATTCATCCATTTTCCTTCGGCTTAGTCCCTTTATTTATCTGGGGTCGCCACAGTGGAATGAACTGCCATCTTATCCAGCATATGTTTTTCACAGCGGATGCCTTTCCAGCTGCAACCCAGTATTGGGAAACACCCAATCACAAACACACACTAAGGCCAATTTAGTTTATTCAATTCACCTATAGTGCATGTCTGGACTGTGGGGAAAACCACACGAACATGGGAAGAACATGCAAACTCCACACAGGAATGCCAACTGACTCAGCCGGGACTCGAACCAGCGACCTTCTTGCTGTAAGGCAACAGTACTAACTACTGAGCCACAGTGTCACTCCATTTAGCTTCATAAGACTTAAATGCAGTGTTTCTCAACCATGTTCCTGGAGGACCACCAGCTCTGCGCATTTTCCAGTCTCCTTAAGCAAACACACCTGATTCAGATCATCACCAGACTGAAAAACCTGTAATGGGGGTGACTGACAAAGGAGTTGGTGGCCCTCCATGAACATGGTTGAGAAACACTGCCTTAATGTATTGTCAGAAGCCATGGGTGTTGATTAAGTTTAAGACCCGCTCACACTGTGCAATTTTGTATTTATTTATTTATTTTAATAATCCTGAATAATTATAGCATGTCATACAGAAAGATCTCAGCTGTCATCAAGTCAGACTAAACAACAATAAAAATGCACCAAACACAAAAGAAAAAACCCCCGGAGTTTGACGTCATCTACCTGTGACACTTTTACTATCCCCCCGTTCTAAAATGATTCCTCAAAGCAAACAAATAATTTTGCACAAAGCGAGTCTCAATAATTAAACCAGGAAGAAGAAAAAAAAGAGTGACATTTCCCTAAGTTCATTTGAATTGTCGCATAGATCGCCTCATCATATTCAGAGCTCCTATTGGTGCTTGGATTGATGCTCACTGCTGCTCTTGTCACACTGCAGGAAAGTGTCTGAAATCTTCTCACACTGCCAGAACTTCATCAGAGGAAAAATCTGATCCAGTCGAGACTTACTGGCTGTCAGTGAACGTCAAATCAACGAACAAAGATCCTAGATTTTAGCCTAGGATTTCAGGAATCTTTTAGGATTTCCCAAATTCGTCTCCGATAACAATATAGTGGCTGAAATCTCAGTGTGAACAGGGCTTTAGTCTGTTTATCTTTTTATGACTCTCAAAATGTTGGTAGCTGTTGACTTGTGTTTTATAACCAAGGACCAAATTTCTGTTAAAGCTTTTTAAATGGTTTACTAAATCAAAGGAAAAAGACACTTATATCTTGGAAGTCCTGAGGCCGAGTACATGAATGGCTAATTTTCATTTTTGTGTGAACTATCACCTTAATGTTAGTCTGAGTGCGTGAAGCAAATTTGCGCCATCGTGTGGCGTGAATTGTTACAGTAGAAACTAGAGATGCACACGTTATAAATGATCATATTTAAGTTAATCTTATTTTGCTTAAATAAATGAACTAATGAACTTGTTTGAAATGTTACAATGTAGTTTAGGCATCACACAGAAAAAACTTCACACGGCATCACACCAAAATGATCTTTTTTTTTTTTTTTTTAACATTTTATGATGGCAAAGGAAATGCGAAGGTAGGAGTAGTGGAAACCTAATATATGACACTGACTGACGAAACATCTTTCTAGTGTTTGATAAGATTTTTTGAATGTGCATTTATTTGATCGAAAATTCAGAGGAAAAACAGTAAAACTGAAATGTTGGTACAATTTAAATGTCTTGCTAAAAGTTTTGCTATTAACCCTCCTGTCGTGTTCACCTCCCGCCCCTTACTTTTGTGTTCCCGGTTTCTTTTACCTGTTCAGTCAAAAAGCATTCTTTAGCTGTGAACAATGTGTAAAACTAGTGTTTGGCATTAATTCATAGAATTAGGCATAAATTAGCTGCAGTGAAAATACAAACAGACACTAAAATGTATCACAAAACGAACATGTAATGTCATAAAGGTCATAACGTTGGAGGATCGACACAAGCATAGGAGAGATATGTACCCACAAAAGACATTGCTCAGTCTGAAATGTGTGTGTGAGTGAGTTGGGGTAGTGTGTTTAGAAATGTTTTTGGTTTGATGGTTTATTATACCGATTACAAGATACCCATTCATTTCCTTCAGAGGTCACTTTTGACCGGGAACACCATATGTGTAACATGGACAATTAAAACAAACAGAATTCAAAGAAAGAGGTGATCATCACTTTTACATGTTTAAGTGCATACTGTGGAGGATATTATAAGGCCTTGAGGCAATCAGATGTAAAACAAAATACCTATGAGTGTTTCAACTTGTAAATTGGTCAGATTTGACCTGAACGCGGCAGGAAGGTTAACCAATCATTAATTATGACTTTTAGCTTATGCACAAGTTAACAGCCAACATCTTAATAATGGTACTCAGTCACTAGAGCGACTTAAAAGTGAGAGTTGATCCTTTAACTAAAGTTTTACCAAAACAAATTGATTACAAATAACTATACTTATTACTATGATATCAAAGACGAACGTTTAGCATCAGTAGTCTCATTATTACACTCTTCAGTATCATGTGACCTAAAAATGATCCTAATATGCTCATTTAGCACACCATGAAAATCTTATTAATAGTGTAAAAAAAACAGTTGTGGGTAATTAGCAGGATTTTATTTTCCATATTTGAAATCTAAACATTCTTTATAAAGGTCTTTACAGTCACAGCCAACCAGTTTAATACATTTAATAAATCTTTGATTGATAAAAAGTACTAATATATTTTAAAAGTACTTCTGAACAATGCATCTGATTTAAACCAGTTCTATGTAAGGAAAATCTCTATCATATCCAGAAATAAATAAACATCTATAACAAACTAAAAATTAATTGTTTAAAAGGGGGAACACACAATGACCAAACACATTTTAAATTCATCAAGCAACCAATATGTACCGATATTTTCACTAATATAACACGTTTTTTATACTACAGACCTACATTTTAATCCTAACACGTATTCATTACATTTTTCCAATGCCAAAAGTATTGAAATTAAAAGCTTATCGAATAGCACAAACTCAGAAAAATAATACATTGAACTAACAACTGCTTGCATTTAAATGACTTGGATTAACAGGGTTTCTAATTTTAGCTCCTGAAATTGAACACAGCTGTTTATTTAAGCTGTGAATATGTCAACCAAAAATATTTCCAACACGTTTTCATGCTTAAAAATTCAATAATTCTTAATTTCCAGATTTCATCTATAATATTCAAGACAATTTTCAATTCACTTTATTTCAGTTCAAAAGTTCGCCTCCATAAATTTAGTGGATCAAATTCGGCTGTTAAAATTTGACATGGCAATATTAAATGCTACTTTTGATGCTTTTATTTGTTTTTTTCCTCAGTTATTTATTGGTTTAAACATCTTAAATTAGTCCACCTGCTAGTGAAAAAGCGATTGTCAGTCTACAATCTATTGCTTTTCCTGCAGTTCTCGGATGTAATGTCAAATTTTTAGAGCCGAATTTGATCCACTGAATTTTTGAACTGATATAAAATAAACCCAAAATGACCTTTAGAACATTACACTTCGTATTTTTCACCGGTATTGAATATTTTGTGAGTGAAATCTGGAAATTGAATAAGAATTATTACATTTTTAAGCATAAAATGTGTTTAAAATATTTTTAGTTGAGATATTCACCGCTTAAATAAACAGCTATGTAAAAATTCAGGACCAAAAATTACAAATCCTGGCAATCCAAGTCATTAAAATGCAAGCATTTGTTAATTCGAAGTATTGCTATTTTCAGTTTGTGCTATTCGATAAGCTTTTTATTTCAATACTTTTGGCATTGATTTTGTTCCATACTCCTTTGTCCACTAAACACCTCTAGAGAAAGTCTGTAACACATTTGTACAGACCGATTTTACCTCCTCATTAGTAACACTTAATATTAACACTTAATTGTGTTACTAATAGATAATGATCACTAAATAGATATAACACAAACAGCATTCAGAGTGTTTAAAACAAAAACAAAAGTGAATAATCAGCCAAAATAGGTCACACAGACAGAAAGCGGTGTGTCTTTTATGGATGTGAGAGTCTGGCATACTGCTTGAGTGCGCGTTTAGGTGGAATAAGAGAATCATTCACCCCGACTCTTTTCTTCTTCCTCTGTTCATTGTCCTTCTCTTCATCAGTCTCCTTGTCCTCCTCTCCAGAAGCCAGGGGATCATTTTTGTGTGTAACATTGGTGTCTTTTGGTCCACTGTCAGAAGTGACCTTAAGGTTGCTCTGCAGATCGCTGTCATGTGCAAACTTACATTTGCTCCCAAAGCGGCAGCGTCCGTCCTTCCTGTAGGCCACACAAATGCGCTTCCCGCCAATCTGGGTGGGACGAGCTTGTAAAGTAAGAGGTACGTGTTTCTGCAGGACGTTCAGACTCTCCTCTGCCTTTTCTTTGAAGGGGTTTGTAAACACACTGCTGGCTGAAGAAAGCGCTCCACCTGAGCCCAGAGGTGGAGGTGGGAGTTTTTGAGGGTGGGGGCGGACCGATGGGGTGGATGAGGGCTTTGAAAATGGCTGAGGGGCCTCTTGTTGATCTTCGTTTTCTGGATCAGATTCAGAATCACTGGACGGAGATTCCGACTCCAGCAGGAAATTACGGCTTTTCGTCTGCTGTACAGCACTTTCTGGCTTTATGAAGGTGCTAAGCAGAGACAATTCAAGATGTTTATTTAATAAAGTGACACTTAATCATTCTTGATTCATTAAAGGAATAGTTTGCCTTTCTTTTAGTCTATCATTATTTACTGATGAAAGTGAATAGAGACTATTGCCATCATATTAGTAAGTAGCGTATACAACAAACTCAAACACACACACACACGAAGATTGTTAGTTCTATCCTTATAAAAAGCACCTTTATTTCATACTTTTTATACTTTAAGTAAAAACAAAAGTGTGCAGTTTAAAGGAACAAATGCAAACTAATCTTGAGTCATTTGAAATTATAATATATGTTTAATACACTGTAAACATTATATAATCTATTAGACCTGACAGCCTATGTTTTTAGGTCATTGTAACTCATTAAACTTAGTTAACCATGTTCTAACTTATGTTTATAAGTTAGGCAAGCTGTTTCAAATCAGTTTAACATACAGTTGAAGTCAGAATTATTAGCCCCCCTTTTGAATTTTGTTTTCTTTTTTAAATATTACCCAAATGATGTTAACAGAGCATGGACATTTTCACAGTATGTCTAATAATATTTTTTTCTTCTGGAGAAAGTCTTATTTGTTTTATTTCAGCTAGAATAAAAGCAGTTTTTAATTAAAAAAAAAATGTAATGTCAAAATCATTATCCCCTTTAAGCTATATTTTTACGATAGTCTACAGAACAAACCATCATATTACAATAATTTGCCTAATTACCCTAACCTGCCTAGCTAACTTAATTAACCTAGTTAAGCCTTTAAATGTCACTTTAAGCTGTATAGACAATGTATTTTAACTACAACTGTATAGAATAAGTTCAATGGACACATAACGTTAATTTGATTCAGCTTAAAAGTTCAAAGCAACCAGGATGTTTTGACAGAGTATTATTATTTATTCATGCTCTTAACTGTATATTGTTTTTGACCCACTTAGTTAGAACATCAGGGTGTCCGTGGGGTCTTAAAAAGTCTTAAATTTAAAAAACTAAATTTTAGGCCTTAAAGTTTTAAATTCACTGCAATATTATATTGTTGGTTTTAAATCATTTTAAACAGGTCTTAATTTTCCTATGTTTAGGTAAAGCTACCCTATTGAGCCAACACCCAATCACCAATAGTCCATTTCAATACTTTTATTTATATTTTTATTGCAAAGAGAGACAATTCACAACAGCTGTTCGACATTTTAACTGGACTTTTCACTAATTAAATTCCGAAATCAGGGAAAGAAAACTAAAGCAACAATTTAGGACTTTTTAGACCGTTTTAAGGCCATTATGAATGAAATTTTAGACTTATACGGGACTAAACATTAAAGATTTTTCTAATGGGCCAGTTAGTTCTGTCAATAGTGTTTGTATTAATGGTAGATCACGTAAACCAGGCATGTCCAAACTCAGTCTTGGAGAGCCGGTGTCCTGCAGATTTTAGCTCCAATTTGCCTTAACACACCAGCATGGCTGTTTCTAGAAAACCTTATAAAGATGTGGTCACACTAGAGTTGGTGTGTGCGAAATTCTGTTGTAAGGCACTGCGAAATGGGGCGGGATTAAACAAGATGAATAGATATAAAAGTAATCGATTGCAGCGATATCTGTCCAAAAAGGTCATGTTTTTTTCCTTGATTGGTCTCACGTACTCAAGTGATGCGATTCTGCAGGTCAGAGTTCACCAAACTTGAACTTTGCAAAGCAGCGAACTGTGAAATTTGATGGATGACCTTGCGTTTCCGGTCTGAAGCCTCCTTTCCACTGCACAATACAAGCTACAGACCGGAAGTCATTCATTTCCAATGGAGAGTAGTCCGGGAGCTGCGTGGAGTTCCGATCATCTCTATATGCGGAAAATTCAGATCCAAACCGAGTTGTGGACCCGTTAAAATATTTGAACTCCTGTAAATAGACCGTATGCGACCGGCCAATCGGATGTGATGTATTCCAGTGTTGTCCAAGCAGGTCCGTGTGCTCGAGATGATAAATAGTACATTTTTTGGTTAGTTTTTTTAAATCAGAAAAAGTCTGTATTTAAAAAAAAAAATCTATTCATAAATGTAAGTAATAAAGTAATAATTTATTTATTTTTAAATTATGTTGTCTTCACATGCCCTCCAATATTTTTTTAGCAGTCTGAGTTTCGGGTATTCAGTCATTCATTCAACCATGGTGAACGCACAGAGGATAATCACTCTTGTTTTGGCACTCTTTTATTTCGGGCACTGCGAGATTAGCTGCTCCCCCCATGGTGCTTGCAGAACTGAAAAGTCTGTGCGATTGCCACAAGGGGGCGCATTCTGACAGTTATGTACAAATGTTGTGTGCAGTGAAAGGCGGTTTGAGCGTCAGACTGAAAACGCAAGGTCATGCGGCAAGCTTCGCAGTTCGCTGTTTGCAAAGTTCCAGGACCGAGTTTGAACAGCCCTGCTTTACATGATCTGCCAATAATACAAAAACTATTTACAGAACTAGCTGGCCCAAAACAAAAATCCTTAATGTTTAGTCCTGTATAAATCTAAAATTTCATTCATAATGGTCTTAAAACGGTCTAAAAACTTTGACTTGAAGAAACCTGCAGAAATCCTGAACATACATTATTTTAATTTGATGTCACTTTAATGACTTTTCAGCTGATTAGACTGACATGAATTTAAGATACACTAAAGCTTATGTCTTATTTATAATATTGGTATTTTCACACTTGAAGTATTTACGTTACATGTGCTTTAGAATGTAAGTGAACATAAAAATGAAGATATTTGTTTAAATAGTGACAACTTATAACTACAAACCCTTTTAATTGAGCAGTCATACACTGTAAATAAATACACTTAGTCTTTTATTATTATCATTATTAAAGCACATCATATTAATAATATAATTTTGAAACAAAATACACAAAATGAGGTAATGTTGCAAATTAAATGAGCTCTTTCCCACATATAGAAAGTGAATGGTGACTACAACCCTCAAGCATTATTTTCGGTGAAAAGAGAAAATGAATTTAAATGTATATCTGTTCTTTCAGCACACAAACCTTTAAAATCGTTTTAGAGGACTTAAAATACAGTGTATTGACTACTTGTATTGTGATTTTCGTCCCTTTTTGGAAGGTGACTGCACCAGTAGCTATTCACTTCACTGGTATGAATGAAAGTAAGCAGGTAATAACGTTATTTTTTAGTCAATTGTCCTTTTAAAGTATAAAACAGTAGAAATACGCTAACTTACTCCACACTTAACGTTTGTCTTAAAATGTAATATAAATGTTATGAATAGCTCACCCCTTTGGATTGTCCTCTCCTGTCTCCTCATCTTCTGACTCGGATGAGAGCCCGTATCCCACAAGCGAATTCATAACCACTCAAATACAAGCTACGAGAGATAGAGAAGAACTGTGATCGAAATCTGCTGAAATGCGGTATTAGCGCTCTTGAAGGTTCACGTTAATCGTTTGTTTATCCGGAAGTAGGTGTTTCTTCTCGCTCCCCAGACAGATTGTGTTGTGGAAAAATTCAATGACAGCAAATATGCCACCGTGCGGCTCGGAATGGAATTGCGATAATGATATTGACAAGGTTTATAGGCTATGATTATATAAAATACCAGTCATTTTATACACTGAGGAGTATTATTACCAATTAAGTGTATTATATATGGATTGCAGAGACTTCACTATGGACTATCAGTTATTTTTTAAATTAAATGCTATTTTTAAATTAAATAAATTATAAATAATTACCTAACACAAAAAATGCTGTTAAAGGTTCAAAAGACCTTGGAGTACTTTTTTGAGATTTTAACAGATTTGTGTGTTGAGCATCAGTTGTTAGCACCATAGCGGCATTTTCTCACCCTATGAGAAGAGCCTGCTTCTTAATTATTCATAAGAGCATGTGCTTTCTGAAGGCAAGGCAGACCTGCAAAGCAGTGAGACCCGATGACTGGGTGAGGCCGTGTTCGCAGACTCCACATATGGCACGCAATATTTAGCCATTCATGAAGGGTCTTAAGTGATTGTTTACCCGTGATGCTGTCAGGGTTGATACAGCAAAGCTGTTTGTGTGCAACAAGCATTTTTGTCTGAGAGCTGTATGCGAATTGGAGAATGGCCGACTTTGTCTTTTAATGAGTTTGTTACCATTCAGACACATCGACTATATTCGTGCTGCTGTTCAGGCACATGCACACATAGGGCTCAACCTGTGCAGAGCACATGCCCTTTTTAGTCTTGAATAGAAAGTGCCCTTTCAAAGTGATCTGAAGTGCCCTCGCGACACAGAAAAAAATTATCCTGCACATGCCCCTTTTAAGGTCTCTGCACGGGCCTGCTGCTGTTCGGTATATGTTTAAAATCCTCCAAATAACCGGCAGGGCTAATGGTTGAAATAGACACGGCAAGAGACCTGCTGCACTGCTATACACTGTGTCGGCATTCAGACTTGGGGACTCAGGAGGAGAGAAGTCCTCATTTAGTGTTTATACAAACATGATTATCTTTATGATTATATAAATTGTGGTTATATGTACATGAAATTACAAATAACATGTGTAGCAGGACATTACTGTTTATTTCTTTACATTTTAATTTTGTAAACTATAAAATCATGGGTCTCCTTACAGTTTGTCTCATTTTGTGACCCAACAGACAGCAGTTGTTCGTTTTACTCTTTCTACCCTGCTTTGCTGGTCACGCCCATTCCTCCTTCTGCACACAGCGCTCCATGCTCATTATAAGGCATTTTTTTAAAAACATTCTAAGGTGGACTTGAACTGAAAGAGGGGGTTTTGTGACCCTTTAACTGTAATACAATTGTAGTTTTTGTGCTAAACTTTATGCACATGTATATTTGTGGGAATAGTCAATAATGACTGCTTTTTATTTTGTGCCAAAAATCACTTGAATAGTAAAAAAAGATGTTCAATGAAGATATTTTGTGCATTCCCTACTGTAAAACTTATTTTTTTTAATATGCTTTGATGAGAGCTTAATTTGGACAATGGAGACCTGCTCCTTAAAGCCTATGTTTGAGACTCACTGTGTCATTTCCATGTACTGAACTCTCATTATTGAGATATCAGATTTTCATTCTCTGCCACCTTCATTATTATAATTTTCTTTAATTGAGATGCAGCGCTACTTAAAATGATTAAAGACATGTGCATTAATGATTTTGCTAATTACTCTTTTGAGACACAATTATCTAATAGTATGTACCTCCAGCTTATTAAGTGACATCCTGACACCGGGATTTATTTTTAATGTTAAAGATGAGTTTTCATTGTGGCTGTTATCAGTGGTGGAAGAAAGAAGAAATAGATATCTTCTCTTATGGACATGCTGCAAGCTTTTGTCTCAATATTTAATTTGTAATCTAAAACATATGAATTGTTTTAATAAAGGAAATCATTATTTAAAATAGATATAGAGAGGGTGACATGGTGGCGCAGTGGGTAGCGCTGTCTCCTCACAGCAAGATGGTAACTGATTCGAGCCCCGGCTGGGTTAGTTTGCATTTCTGTGTGGTGTTTGCATGTTCTCCCTGCGTTCGTGTGGGTTTCCTCCAGGTGCTCAGGTTTCCCCCACAGTCCAAAGACATGCGGTATAGGTGAAATGAATAAGCTAAATTGGCCATAGCGTGTGGGTGTAAATGCAAGAGTGTGGGTGTTTCTCAGTGCTGGGTTGTGGCTGGAAGGGCGTCCGCTGTGTAAAACATTTGCTGAATAAGTTGGCAGTTCATTACGCTGTGGCAACACCTGATTAATAAAGGGACTAAGCAGAAAAGAAAATGAATAAATGAATGATCAGAAGAGATTTTAATCATAAATTAGAATGAAATAAAAAAGGTTCTGCACCCTATTGAGGAAAGCTTTAATGGAAACACTCAAATGGTCTTGTAGCTGACAAATATAGCACTATTATAGAGGGGCAGATTTAACCAATAAGCAAGGTAGGCGGCCGCTTGTGCCCCTAGGAAATCTGAGGGCCCCCAAATAAATACCTAGAAGTGTAAACTGTACCTATAAATGATATAGAACATCATTTTCAATTATATTTGGTATGATGAGGATGTAAAAAAACAAGTTTAATGTTTATTACATCGCAAATGTGTCCTCCACCCTCAATCATGGAGCAGTCCAGCAGTCAAGTAAGGTAAAGATTTAGTTTTAAAAATTAAATTGTTTAAATAAATTTATATATCATTTTAGTTGTGAATCCTTAAAAAAAATAATAATAATAATTTAAAAAGTTTTAAAAGATGCTTTACATGTTATTATTATTTTGCATTAAGACATAGTGTAGAAAAGGAGATTGAGTGATATAAAAATAAAAACAGCAAAAGAATCAATAAAAATAAATTAAAGTACAAAAGGTCCATTTTAGAACTTCTGGACCCCATGGCCAGAATTGCTTAGGGACCCCAAATCACGAAATCCACCCCTGCTATTATGTCAAAGTTTTTAACTCTAGCTCAAACAAATGTTGCCTGACTTACCGACATTTAAAAAAAAATGTTACAACACTCCACTGCCTCTCCCATTGTAAAAATGGGAGTTGTAGGCACTGATAAGCTTGGAAAAAAATTGAAAAGTGAAATAACACCCTGTTATACCACCCTTCCTTGTTATGTCATGCAGACCACAGTTCCTTTGAAGCTTAAGAATGTGCTAATAAATATATGCTTAACAAATAGAATTTAGCAGAAAGCACAGATTTTTTGCAGAATTAAAAGTTTCTCTGCTTACAAATGGTCTTTTTCTGTCTTCAAATCTGAAATAATTATGCAGAACACAGTCAACATCAGTCACATACATTAAATGGTTAGTGTGATTTCACCAATAGGACATATTCCTGGATTGATATATGTTGACCCTGAAACAACATTCCAATCAGCCAATCAGAATTATGGGATACATTTGCAGTTTATGTTAAGTTTAGGCTTAAGGTTGGGGTTATAAACTTTTACATGATTGTTTTCTAACTATTATTCCCCTCTGATTTTGGAAATAATTTACAGTTATGGTTGGGTTTAGGGTTATAGATATTGATTAGGGAACAGATATGGAATACATTTTCAAACAAAAAATTTATATTTGGCAAAATCACACCCACCGACAGCTATTAGCAGGTTGCAACAAGATAATGTTTCATTATGAATGAAAACCTACAAAAATAATGTCTTCACTATGCCATTCAACTGACTGGGTGCTTGATATGATTTCTTCATACTCATTTGTAATGCTGAAACACACACTTCTACATCTTTACAAGGTTGTGTGGTTCTGGGACAATCATTCGCAAAATGTTTGCTTGTGCGTTGGTGGAAATGTTTGGAGAAAAAACATTCATTCATTTTCCATCAGCTCAGTCTCTTATTTATCAGGGGTCACCACAGTGTAATGAACCACCAAGTATTCCAGCATATGTTTTACGCAGATGCCCTTCCAGCCGCAACCCAGTACTCAGAAACATCCATATACTCTCACATACACTCTTAAACTATGGCCAATTTAGTTAATAAAATTCACTTCTTCAAACTGTGGGGGACAACGGAGCACATGAAGGGAAAAACAAGGGGAGAACATGCAAACACCACACAGAAATGCCAACTGGCCCAGCCGGGACTTGAACAAGCGACCTTCTTGCTGTGAGGCAACAATGCTAAACACTGAGCCACGATGCCACTGAGAAAAAAAACAAAAATGTTAAAATATTCATTTATTAATTCATTTTTTTCCACTTTAGTTCCATATTTATCAGGGGTTTTAAAATGGTATATTCAATAATAATTTAAGAAACGAGCAAAAGAAATCAGGAAACATTAAATTAAATTAAATAATCCACATATAATGAATAAATAACAATATCATATATTTAGGTCTATATAATGATTACAACATAATAAGCTTAAAATAAATGACTTTAAATATGAATGTAAGTCTGTTTTTCACATTGTATGATTTTTATAGAATGGGGTTTCTTGAACAGAGATATTTGGGGTCTGGTAGCATATAAAAGTGAAAAGCCTTGATCTAAAAGCCTAAATGAAATGAATAAATACTAATTGGGTAGCTATTACCAATGTTGGAGCAATTTAGCTACAGATCTAGAGAGACTACAGGCATACACAAAATCTATGCATAGCCTGTTAAAACAAAACGTGTAAGTGGGCTAATGGCCTACTGTAAACACACCTTCTTTTCCTCATAAACCCCAAAACAGCCATTCTAAAAGCCGACAGGAAATTCCAGAGGCTCGAAAATATTAATTTCCTTCCGCATTATAAAACAAACAGCTCTTATCCTTTATTTTGTCGATATTTTCCAGTTTGCTTTACACTGTGAGGAGACCTCTAAACCAATGACACTCCGTCCTGAAACTTCCAACCCCTTTTAAACGCGACACGACCCGTCACAGGAGGAGGAGTTTACGGTAGTTTCTGAACTACATCTCTAAACGGGTGAACGGTGTTTCAGAAGTCGTGCTGTAAGTCATGCGAAATCTCCTGGCTTCAGTGAAATAACCGCAAGTTTAACAAGAGACAAACAGGGCTGGAGACTCTCCATTCAACAGCCTACGGTAAGTATAGCCTACGGGGGTCTTTATCTATTCCTTCTCTGAGTTGTTCCTGCCGCTAATTCAAAAGTTATTTTCACATAATAGGTGTGTTTTGAGTCTAAATGGCTGGCAGAGGTACAAACGGTCGTCATGGGTTGCGGGGCCGCGCAGGGACAAGCGCAGCTCTTGCCCGGCTTCTCCACAAGGAATGCATCCAACTCCTCAAGTCATACGTGAGTCCTAAAATAGAGCTTATTTATACAGAGCTGATCTGATTAGTATCTTTAACTGTTGAGTCTTTCCTAATTATGGCTTGGTGTGCGATACAAACTGGGAGTCTTCGGCATCATGACATTTAGATGAAGGAATGTCTGGGGGCTGAATTGTGCTGGAAGTGACAGTGTTTTCATGCGGCCGCGGGGGATCCAGACTTGTCGCGCGCTGTGGATGGAACATGTTTCTGGTTTATAAAGATGCGATTGTTCTTGTAAATAAAGGCCTTTTTGGTTACCTGCCAAAATTGTTCTGGTCCACACCACCTCCTCTTTCTGTTAATGTTAGTTTCGGCTTGTTTTGTTTTTTTTTTCCTTGGAAAAGTAGCCTGAAACTTGGGAGCGGTTCGGAATGTTAGAAGAGTCCTTATGTGTTGAAATAGGTGAGCAACATCCAATTCCTATTCAACCTGAGTATCAGTATGAGCTGCTCTGCTGAAGTATCCAGCTGGCTTCAGGATGGCTTACATTATTAATTGGTGACTTTATAATATGCCTACATGAGCTTTGGACTTTCAGTCTGAATTTGAGGAAGATGTTTAAGAAATGTTGGGAGAGGTTTTGTTTTAGTATTCGAAAGTCATAACATCAGTCTTTTAGAGAGTTTTCAAATTACTGTGAAAATCAAAATGGACAAATCTTATTTATTTATATTTTTATACATTTTCTCTTTTGATCGGGGGCAACCTGTCAATAATGTGAGATTGACCAATAAAGTGAAACCGTTAATTTCCAAGTAAAACAATTCTATGTAGGCCACTATATGTACTTTCTTTTTCATTAAAACATCTGAAAAATAAGGACTAGAACAGTGTATATTATTGTAATGTTTAAAAAATCTTATTTCAGAGAAGTAGCCATTTTAAAGGTCCTGTAAAAGACTTCCATTCATACGCACGCAAAAGCGTCAGACCGGAAATGCAAGATCGTGCGTCAAGTTTCGCAAATTGCTGTGTTGGATGTTCAAGCTTGGTGAACTCTGACCTGCAAAATTGCATCGCTTGACTGCGTGAGACCAATCAAAGATCAAAACATTACATCTCTGGGCAGAAAGTTAATATATGGAGCAATTGCTTGCTTTTTTAAATGTCTAATCGTCTTGTTTATTCCTGCCTCTTTGCGCAGCACCGTATGACAGAATTTCAAAAGCTCAAACTTTTGTGTGATCGCTGCTTTACTCCAACTCTAATGAAGCTGTTCATGACTCTTTTGAACCACTTTGATTATTTGGATCAGCTGTGTTTGATAGTGTTGGAGCTAAACTGTGCAGAGCTGCGGCCCTCCAGGAACTGAGTTTGAGACCTATGGTTTAAAGGATATCTAATAGATCCTTTTCTCATTTCCGGGTTTCTCAGAAGCAGAAGGCGTCATAGCTGGGTAAACTTAGAGCGCAGTGAATCGGAGAGTACAACAAATAATGTTTTTACAATCCTATTTGCTGAAATAATAAAAGAAAAAACTCTGTGATGGTGTTATCAAAGCATTCAGAAAAAGGAGAAAAATAGTGTGAGACTCATGACGGCAACCAAAGGCGAGAATGATGTCAAATTTACTCTAAGCCCCATAGACAGTGTATAAAAGTAAATATTAAAAACTTTCAAGGATTAAAGATTATGATGATTGTTAAAGGAGTCATAACAGTCTTGTGAAATGGGTCCATAGCTAGTGTGCTAACAGTGACTAAATGCACATTTATAAAATATAAAACTGATATAAACCTCCAAAGCTTGCAGTTTGTCACTTAAATGTATCAATGGTTTTTATCAGGCCACCTCATATTTAAGTTTCTCATCAAATCTTGACCAATCAAATGCTGTCTAGTATCTGCCATGCCCCGCCCCGCCACCTTCAAGATGCTTCTCATTTGCTTTTTATTCGATGCTTGTGATCTTAACCAATCTCACTGGCAGAGCTGTCATAAAAACGGAGCTGTAAAACGCTATTGGCTGTTTTAAAAGGGGAGGAGCTACTCTATGTCCCACCCTCTCATCCTTTTTCAGTTAAGTCAAACATCACATAAAAAATGAATGCTTTAAAGCACTTCACAGGACCTTTAACTAGTGACAAGTTCTGTCCTGTGACACCATGCTATGATATCCTGTTTAATTTCCAGTTTGGTTTTACAGAAATCAGGGTAACATCAAAAACACTGTAATATGTTGTGCTTTTTATTAGAAAGCAAAGCAGCATTATAACAGAGCCTTAAAATGTGTTTAGTATGATAAAACTGTTGTTGGCCCCATTAGCTCATGAACAGAAGAAACGGTAGTGTGGCATAATAAAAGCTCCACTGCTTTCGTGCCACGTCTTGCTTGTCCCTCATCAGCTATTGAATGTTTTTAATCATGTGACCTGTTTAGAGACTTGGCAGGCAAAAAAAACTGTGCTGTAATGGCAGCTACACTGAGGTCTCATAGAAACACAGCACAGTCTGGTTATATTTCTATCTGTTTCAAGCTGCGAATATTTAGATCACGCATCAACAGAATAAAACTGAGATATGATCACAAACTGTATATTGTAGGCACTTGGGATCCATATATCACACTTTACTACATTTATTATCATCATGTCCCTGTCAGAGCTACAATTCAGCAATGTTTATGTGTGTCTTTTGAATTTTCCTCAGTGATTTAGTCATTGGGGACAGTGTTATAGTGCATAAGTGTCTGCATTTATATTCTGTGTCAGTTTCTTTTGCATAGATTATTATTTAATTGGGTGGCTCAGTGGTTAGCACTGTCTCCTCACAGCAAGATAGTTGCTTGTTCAAGTCCCGGTTGGACAAGTTGGCATTTCTGTGTGGAGTGTGCATGTTTTCCCTGTGTTCATGTAGGTTTCCCCCACAGTCCAAAGACATGCACTATTGGTGAATTGGGAAAACTAAAATTCTTCATAGTGTATTGGTGCATGTGTGAATGCGAGAGTGTATGGGTGTTTCCCAGCACTGGAAATGCTGGAATATTTGGTGGTTCTTTCCACTGTGGCGACCCCTGATAATCAGGGACCAAGCCAAAGGAAAATTAATGAATATTTGCTGATAAGGAAAATCTATTCATTCACTTCTGCTATTTTTACTTTGACTTTGCATTTCAATTTATACTTTAATTGCACTGAACCTGCAAATTAGAATAGAAACTGTATAAAAAGCACACAAACGTACTGATGACGTATTGATGCTTCTTTTTGGCACAAATACATGCATTTCTTCTTTCTGGCTGTTCTTTCTCTGAAGGATTTCTGTAGAAGCAGAGCCCAGGAGAGTTTCATATCGGTTTGTAATGCTATATGTTATTGCACAACAATTGTAATTTTTTGGGCTAAAAAAGAGAAACTACTCAGCCCACAACTTGGGTGTTTCTTGATACAAAGATGACGCATGAAAAACATCAATTATTTAGGCACTCTTTTTTTTAGTTTTGAAAGCTTTCAGATTTACTCTACTTTAGCCCATCCATGAACATGATTTCTGTAGAATATAACAAAGAAGAAAACTCCCATGATTCCACTTTTAGGCACGGCATCTTCAAAATATGCCTTGGTTGTTGTGAATGTGTACCCTCTAGTGGCGAAAATCCCATACTGTGCATTTAATTTTCATTGCATTGAAAATTTGATTATTAACTTAAATCTTTAAAGACGCCACTTGTTATGAGTTCATCAAAGCTGTTAAGTATTGAAAGTTTTCCTTTTGACTGATTTTATTTCCTTCAAATCAACGTTTACAACGTTTAGGACTTACGATGTTACTATTTTATTTAAATAGGACACTATTGACCTTATTTTTTGGCTTAAGACTTCCGGTCTCATTCATTCCACTGATATTTCGATGTTAAAAACTTCTCATTAATAATTATAATAATAATGATAATAATAATAATAATCCCTTAAATTTATATAGCGCTTTTCAGGACACTCAAAGGGCTTTACACGTTTTTTGGAGGGGGGTGTGGGGGGATCTCCTCATCTACCTCCAATGTACAGTATTTATGTAGTTGACGTGACGGCAGCCATATTGTGCCTGACCGCACACCATACACCAGCTAATTGGTGGAAAGGAGACAGAGTGATGAAGCCAATTATGATATGGGGATGGTTAGGAGGCCATGATGGACAGGACCCAGTGGGCAAGTTTGGCCAGGTTGCCGGGTTTAAACCCCTACTTTTTGAAGGACATCCTGGGATTTTTAACAACCACAGAGAGTCAAGACCTTGGTTTAAAGTCTCATCTGAAAGATGGCGCTAGGACCCACGCAGCCCACAAATTGAGCGCTGGTCTCACTGACACCACTTCCTGTAACAATCTAGCTTTCCTATGTGGTCTCCCATGCAGGTACTGACCGGATGCAGCTCTGCTGTGCTTTAGGGTGTGAGAGTGTTTTACCAAGTGAGAGTTGCAGAGAGCTAGCTGCTGATGATTTTTGCTCTTTAAGGCTGGTTTATACCTCTCTGTCGAGTGATCGGCATGACCCACTGCGCATGCCTTGTGCATTGCTGTGCATTTATACTTCTGCACATAAGGTAAACACAAAACAAAACTTTCCACCTGGGGTCAGTTCTTCACATGTGTACTACTCAGTTAGCTGAATTTGGTTATTGACGATTTGACACGATCCAGTATCGTTTCGTTCTTTACAGCTCATTTGAAACTTGTTGTCATAGCAACAGTTCTAATAGCTCAAACCTACTCAGGAGCAGGTTTATTTCATGTTAACAGGATTAGATCAGGTAATTTCAAGCGAAGGTAATATTGAAAGTATTTACCGAATGTTGGTATTTTTTTACAGTAGTAATCTATGGATTATATACACTTGGGGGAAAAAGTAAAATAGTTTTAAAAAGTTTATATCTCACATTTATAATAATTACTGATATTTAATATAAAGGAAATAAGCCGAAAAAAACAAATTCATGAACATTAAATATTATTTCAGTAAGTTTACTCAGGGAGTAATATGCTTGAAAACATATATAATTAAAACTTAATAGATAAAAGTACAAAAACGGGTTGGTTCTCCCAAAGGGGATCAAAGAGAACATTTATTAATATGGATTTGTTTAGATACAAATGCATACTATTTAAAAAGTTCCGATCCAGCTTATGTACTTTTTCTGTATGATAATAGACATGCACAATATTCGACTTTTTTTGTTTGTTTGTTTTTTATAACGGAATAATAATTTATGCAGTCATGCACATGTTTTGACAGCTAATATGCCGGTGATTTAATGCTTTGCAGAAGTTGCAGACACCTTTACAAATATCGAAATGCTTTTTTAATGCAAAATTAATTTAAATTCCTTGCGCTGATAAAGAAATTAAAATAGCCTAGGCTACTATAGTAAAGAAAATCCGATCTAAAATGTAAAACTAATGAAATGTAAAATTGCTAAAGCCTCTTGACACAAAGTGTAAAGCCTGCAGCTCACAACAAATCTGTAAAGTTATTGCGTGTCATATTAAACATGGTTTATTATGAATTTTATTTAATTTTTCCTCACATAGATGATTGAATAATAATCAGATGATGTCATTATGCTGCTGTGCCGTCAGCCAAGCGTTGCATTGCTGATCATGATTTCGAGGATCGATAGATCTGTCCTTCACAACACACGCAGCGTTATCAGATCAGTTCATCCAGACATTTTAATCTGATTCACAGACTTGTTTGAAGAACGAAATTAGCCAGAGATCAGTTATCAAGATTAAAAGATCCAGGATCTGTCAAATCATCTTAGATCATTTAAGCGAGGTACGAAGAATGGATCCCTGGAGCTCCTTCACTTGTAAATATTCGCTCCAACAGGTTTGCGTGGCTCTCACCCCGCCCACACTCATTAGTGCTACCAAGCCGACCAATCACAGAGCTTGCGCTATGAGTAGTTACATTTTTGGAGAGGTACGCGTCAGATGTTGATATTATAACTGATATTTTCTAATTAAATTATTCTACTTTTTGTGCATAATCATCAACACATTTTTTGTAGAGCGAGTAGTTTGATTTTGTTTTTTTGCTGTTTATTATTCCTAGTCATTTCTCCCATAGGAACTGAATCAGAATTTCTCAGACAGTCACAGAAACGAGCACACAAACATTGCAGAATTCAGGCCAAAAGCAAAGAAAAGTCCACTGCAACTTGCTGAGATGTTTAGATACCTTCTGGAAATTGGATGTCGGCTGGAAAAAGAGCATAAGATTGCTCGTCTCAGTCTTGTATTGTTTGTCTAACAGCTGCTTTTATCCACTCTCATGAGTTTAATAAATGTTTGTTTACCATTTCCCTTCATCTGGAATTTTCTGCTCATAATTATACTCACCGTTACCGGTAACCTCAGCTCATTTCCTTTGTGTCAACATTTAGAGAAACAGTGAATCACTGCCGTCTTCACCAGTGGAAGGAGGTCACCTAATATCCATCCCTCCGCTGGTTCCTCAGCTGTCAGATGAAGAAAAAATATCCATCCTGCACGCCGCGCTCAAGGAGTGTCTGCGACTACTGGAAGATGTCATTACCCGGGAGGATGAAGAGTTTCCTGATGAAGACAGTGAATATAAGAGGTTACGGAAAACTGTGAGGGATCGACTGAGGCACCTGTTGGCAAGCACAGAGCAGATGATGGTGGACGGACAGAAATTCGAAGCTGAAGTAAAAGAGGTAGCAAGACATTCTGTTATCGTTGTGAAGCTGTCGTAAGGGTTTGTGATGAATTCTGATTTTATGAGCAATCTGTTTGTGTGAAAGGAGCTGGACGGTCGGGCGACTGGTGGGAGTTTTGGACTGAAGATGTGGATCGTGCGGGTGTTCCAGGAGCTTGTTCACTGGACAGGGCAAACTTCAGACGCCCTCAGCTCTCTGCCAGCAGAGAAGGAGAAAGCACCAGTGTCCCGACGGACAAGAAGAGGTGCTGGGAAACTAAGGAAGTGATACAAGATATAAGAGAAGCTAAAAAGAGTGTGAAAGGGGGGAGCGGAAGAGGACAGTATGATAAGAATGAATACAAGGAATTTCATTGCAGCATGGAGAATGTAGAGAGGGTCTGGATGCAGTTACTAGCATTCCAGCATGCGGAAAAGTAGGAGGGGAGGGTTTGAACAAGATATTATCTAATCAAAGTTATTTTAATATATTTTCTCAGTCTTTTAAAGTAAGATTTTAAACTGTAGCAATAAATGTAAATGCCTTTAGAGATTAATTCTTACTTATTTACCACGTACTGTACGGTTTTAATACCTTTTAAGATTGTTGACCTTTAGATTGTAGATCCATAACTGACACTATGGAAAGAGTGACTGTGGATGGACATTCTCACCATTATATTTATATTTTTGTTTGTATATCAAAAAAATTATATGCTATTAGCCATGATCCGGTATAAGATTCTGACAGTATGAAAATCCTTGGATAAAAGTATCACAGGTTCACAGTATTGTGATTACTGCTCTAAAATATGCTCTATTTCAGGGTTTCTGCAGGTTTCACCGAGTCAAATTTAAGACTTTTTAAGACCATGGAGAGGATATTTCAGACGTATTTAGGGCCAGACGCTAAGGATTTTTTATTGGCCCAGCAGGAAAAAAAATCTAATTAATTTAATAATTTCTTAGTCACATATTTTAAATTAATGTGTGAAAACAAGCAGACCTTGGATGTATACATACATTTTTGTTAAACATAAAAAAACTCTTTTTAAAACTAAATGTTTGCACAACAGACTACTGTTATAATATTAGTTATGAGTAGGCCCACTAGAATCTGCAGTTTTCCGCAGATTTTCAGCCCATCGAGTCTATTTATTTACTTGAGTAAATGTGGATAAATTTTTATTTATTCAGTTTTTATATTAATTCCAGTAATTTTATTGAGTAATATGAAAATGTTCATATGATTTATTTATAATACAGTTTATTTATAATATAGTTTGTAAAGTAATATTTTCTGTCATGTAGTAGATATATTATATGAGAGACTTATTTTGTTTAACAAATAAGTTGATCTAATTGGATTTACATTGTAAACATTAAAAAAGGTGTTATTTTTTATTTCATATATTAGATTTTTAGTTATGATACTCTTTTACAAAATTCTCAGCGGAAATAGCAAAAAATGTCCGCAGATTCTATCATTGGTTTGGCTAAAAGTTTTATTGAGATGTGTTGTTGGTGATTGGATGTGTTTTGGATTGATTCGGCAGCTTTACATAAACAAAGGAAAAATAAGACCCATTAAAAATGATTTAAAATGACTTTCTTTTAAGTTCTCAAATAGTGTTTTTGAAATTTAAGGCTTTTAAAGACCCCGCAAACACCGTGTTTTTAAATGTCTGGGTAAAAAAAAAACATTCTTTTTCCTTCATTGGAAACAATATATTTTATTTTAAGAAGCATTTAAAATATTTTGGAGCAGTAAACATGTCAGGCTAAATAATTTAAATCAATCATTAACGTCTCCTATCTTCATTAGTTTCGAAAACACCAATTTCTTTACAACTTGAAAAAGCGTCTTTGAAGATCTGTCTGTTATTTAGATATAAAGTAAAGCCACTGAATTGTTCACATTTATAGCAAGGTTATATGTTAGAGCATAAGTGATTTGTTTTTCAAATGTTTTCTGAATCGTGGGCTGACCTGTAGCTTTTGAAGTGGAGATGCTGTTGCCCTAAAAAATAAATAATTAGTCTTAAAAAAACATGTTAAAAAAACAAACAAACAAGGATTAACAAAAATTTGAGCAGTTTTAAAACCTTGACTTCCAATCTGCGGTAAACAATTAAAACCAGTTATCATCCCATGCCTACTTTTATAATAATAAAAATAATAACTATTGCATAGTTAAAAAGCATAAAATCATTCCTTCATCATTTACTCCACATCATGTTGTTCAAAATATTCATTCATTTGTTTAACACAAACCACAGAATTTGTTTTACTTTCTTTAATTTTTGTCCATTGAATGTTGTTGTGGTCTAGTGTCATTTCTTGATTTTCATCAACGCATGAGACTACTTTTCAAACAGCATGAGAGTAAGTAAATGATGAAAGAATTGTCATTTTGTGACATCTTTGTCACATCTTTCTTTAAATGGTTAATATCAGTAACGCTTCACAATAAGATTCCATTTGTTAATATAAGTTACCTGTAGCAGGTCAGATGAAGAATAATTCAATACAACAAAAACAAATTCTGACTTGAAGACTACAGTATGATTTAATGGAATTGAGCTAACATGTATGAACAGCAGTATGTCTGTTACCTAACACATGGGTGCATAAATACTGTTACTAGTACATCTTTATTTACCGCATTATCTGTTGACAAATGGTCCTTACAGTAAACTGTTCCGTAAGTTTCAAACTGATCATCTGTTACAATAATCTACTGAGCGACACAAGCACTGCTGCTTCACATTTATCATGCAAATGTTTTTCATTCCTGTTACATGTGCAATAGGGAGTTATTAAGTGTACCATCTGTTGATGTTTGTTAGGATTAATTCCCTCTTGGAACACTCACGCCCTCTGCTGGCAACTGAAAGTTCTGCTTTTGATTACAGGTCAAGTTGTCAGGCATGAAATGGGTCACGGTGGCTCAGTGGTTAGCACTGTCGCCTCACAGCAAGAAGGTCACTGGTTTGAGTCCCGGCTGGGCCAGTTGGCATTTCTGTGTGGAGTTTGCATGTTCTCCCTGTGTTCTCATGGGTTTTTTCTGGGTGCTTCAGTTTCCCCCAGTTCAAAGACATGCATCACTATTCAGGTGAATTGAGCAAACTAAATTGGCCGTAGTGTATTTGTGTGAATGAGTGTGCATGGATGTTTTCCAGTATTGGGTTGCAGCTGGAAGGGCATCTGCTGTGTAAAACATATGCTGGATAAGTTGGCAGATCATTCCGCTGTGGTGAGCCCTGATGAATAAAGGCGTTTGCCGAAGGAAAATAAATGAGTGAACGAATGAAAGAGACGGAGAAACAACTCCAGGCAAGGCCTTCTGTGTTATATTGAACTTATCAAGCCTTTACACTGATATTAATTTAGTTTGATATTTCCTCAGAACTCAGCACCTGGTTACTGTATGAAGATGAACTGGCGAAGAAAGAGAAACACTAGCATTTAATAATTTATATTAATGTACGTCGTACAAACTTGCACTGCAATAAATGGCTATCTGAATTGTCATTCAAGTTGGTTGTTGTCTGTCACTTGCAGTATGATGATTTGTGTGTGTTGGTTTTGGGGGGTTTATGTGGACAAAAAAGGGTGTAACCAGGGTATTACCAAAGACTAGCTGCATCCCAAATGGCACACTATACACTGTGCACTCATACAATCTGTACTTATGCACACTCAACAGCATAGTGTATGTATGTAGTGTCGTCCCAAATGGAACACTAATGTTTTTTACTAAGTGGAAATTCAACCGGTTTCCCTGATGATGTATGACGGTTGCCAAATTAGTGAATTAAATGAACAAAGTACCAAATAATGCCTGTCGTGAGTATTGCCGCATTCTCCATCAGGAGGCGCTATAATCACTCTCGTAGGAGAATTTCGCTTTCACAATCCAAAATAAAGTTATCCAAAACCAATATGTGCGCCCCTTCTGCCATGTGAGCAAAGTAGCGGTCCTTGAGTGCCCATCATAACACACTTCATTTTACCTACTGAAAGAGTGCATCATCCAGGTAATTAAATTGCACTTGTTATTTTTTACAGTTTTTAGTGTAAAGGGACTACTTGCACTATTTATATTACAAAATGGAGTAGAACAGTGCATAAGTATGCGATTTGGGACACACCTTATATATAATACAAGACGTGTCACTCAAATAGTTTTGAATGGGGAAAAGTGTGACGTCACGCGAAGCGGCTTCCGGGTCTAAGCGCTCTATTCAACTGAATGGGGAGATTCATGAAATGGTAATAATAAACGTTTACAAAGCGATTTAATACTTTCGAAAGTCACGATCGCAATATATATGTCCATGCCTAATATCCGATGGCCAGAAAGTGATTCATTGTTTTATAAATTGTTAAAATTTTGGTATTTGTTATGCAGCAAGCCCAGAGATTGTTGTGTACACTATGAATTTATGTAAAATTAACTTTTATGTGTGATAGGAATTGGACCCGGAAACAGTATACATACGTCATAAACACGTCACCACTTAACAAGCGGATATGGCGAATGAAGCCCCGCCTTCTAGTACAAGAGCCAATCAGCGACTGCTAAAAGCTAATGATTATCCAGGGGAGGGGCTGGGACCAGAGGTGAATTTCTACAGACTTTGTATGATTCAAATGTTTAGAAATGAAACTAAAGACACAGTTCTTGTTCAGTTTTATTGTTGATTCGTAATATTAAATCAGAGGCATTTCAAAGTTGGCCACCGAGTGAAATGACGTGCCTTACAGGCACTTACCTTCTCGAGGTGGTTTATGAGGACATTTCTAGTGTCCTTGTAATTAAAAATATATATAAATCAACTGTTAAAAATCATAAGTAAGGGGGGTCTTTTCACCATTTAAATTTGCCACCCCTTTAACATAAGGGGCTGGAGATTACACTAAATGTTAATTAATGTTCCCACAAGTACTGTGCTGTGTGTGTGTGTGTGTGTGTGTTGGTTTTGGGGGTTTATGAGAACAAAAAGGGTGTAACCTAGGTATTACCAAAGACTATATAATACACAAGATGTTTCACTCGTATAGTTTTAAATTGGGGAAAAGTGTAATGGTCAATATGAAATGAAGCCCTGCCTTCTAATACAAGAGCTAATCATCAATTGCGATTCCTCAGGGGGAGTGGTTGGGGCCAGATGTGAATTTTTGCAGATTTTGTGTAATGAGAATGTTTAGAAAATAAACTAAAACTGTTTAATTTAATTGTTAATTCCTAATATGAAATGTAATTGAAAGCTTGGCAAGCAGTTTTGGAGAATTTGATGTTCCCCATTCAGACAGAATGCCCGAGCATTCTGTTCGAGAGGCGTTTCAAAGATGGCCACCGGGTGAAATGACTTGGCTTAAAGGGACTTTGGTATGACCATGTTGAGGTGGTTTATGAGGACATTCCTAGTTTCCATGTAATTCAATAAAATACATGAATCGACTGTTAAAATTCATACTTAACGTCTTTTTACCTTTGAAATATGCCACCGCTTCCTGTAAGGGATGGGTTTAGGCTGAGGGCTAGGGTAAAACATAAGCAGTTCTTATAGTGTTAAATACAAAATGCTAACGGATAGTCCTCATAAATCACCAAAACCTGTGTGATTATTTATACACTCATACAGCTATCTTTGTGTGGGCATGTTTGAGTTTTAGGGTGCACTCACACTATGCTATCTGAACTGTGCCCAGACGCATTTCCTGGTTCAATTGACAAGTGTTCCGAATCAGGCCCAGGCACGGTTCAGTTGGCTGGCCCTAGCCCAGTTGGAAGAGGTGTGCCAGAGAGCGGTTCGGTTGGGTTTTGGTGCGGTACACTTATAGTGTGACTGCAAAGCGCGACTGTGCCCGAAACTGAAGATGCAACATCACTTTTAAGCGACAGTTTCAAACGAATTTATTCATTAATCTTACTGTTTAATGAATGCAAACTTTCGTAATTTATTAAAGACGAAAACCCCTCACTGCACAACAGCTGTCATCTTCAGGAAACCTCCTAAAACCTGCAGTTCGAGGGCTTTATGAACATTTGTGAGCATCAAAATTTGAGGATCTGTTTGGTGAAATATTTGACTGCGTGTCACTGCATCCTAAATGACTAAAACGATATAACTAAAGCAAGCTCCCTGTGCTGAGCGAGAGCACTTCTCTTCTGTTTAACTGAACACTCACATCATCGATGACATAAGCGTGCCCCGGCCCGGAAGGCAAAATACAGTAAGAGTGCAGGCCTTCAGGGGAGAGGGGATGGGGGACAATCGTGGTTCGGCACGGTTTAAGGCAACTGTACCTAGTGTGAGTACACCCTTGAACTATCCAAATGAGGACCATGAGAGTAAAGTGTGGGCATTTTGGCTGCTCTTCACTTTCTGACACCCATTTAAAGAGCTGTTAGAGGGTTAAGGTTTAGTATTAGGGGTAGCGTTAAAACTGAATTAAAATTAGGGTTAAGGAAAGGGGTTGGAGATTACACTGAATGTCAATAAATGTTCCCACGTGTGTGTGTGTAGTGGTTTATCCTAGTGAGAGTATTGTCAAATTTTGGACATCGTTAAAACAGACTTGTGGACCACACAAGGGAAAGCCGAGATTAAAATACTGTATGAGGGTCATATCATTTAGTCATTATAAGTAGCCGATGGAAAGTCCCCACAGTTCACAGAAACCTAATGTGTGTGTGTGTGTGTGTGTGTGTGTACGTGCTTCTGTCTGTCGGTGTGTGTGTGTGTGTGTACTGTGATAAAGGAAAAGCAGGATGTGTGTTTGGAAGAGTGGGGGTGGAGTGTGTTTGTGATCTGTGTGTGTATTTTTGCGCATGTGTGTATTGGAAGAGAGGCAGGATGCCTGTGAAAGGTGTGTGTGCATGTTGTTGTATGTGTATTTGTGTCAGTGTGTGTATGTATATGCAGTGAGTTACAGAGTGAGAGAGAAAAGAGAGAATGTGACTGTGTATGTGATGTGTGCGTGTGAGGCAGGATGTGTGTGTGTGTGTATGTTTGTCTGAGTGTGTGTGAGAGAGAGAATGGAAGGGGGAGGGGTGTGTGAGAGAGAGAGAGAGAGAGTGTGTGTGTGTGCGCGTGTGTGTGTGCGTGTGTGTGTGTGTGAGGCGAGAAAGGGGGAATGTGTGTGTGTGTGTGTGTGTGTGTGCGTGTGTATGTGTGTGTGTGCGCTTGCGTAGGAGGGAGAATCTGTGTGAGAGTCAGTGTGTGTGTGTGTGTGTGTGTGTGAGAGAGAGAGAGAGAGAGAGAGAACATGTATTTGTGAGATCTGCAGTGTGTATGTGTGTGTGCGCGCATGCATCTGTGAGATCTGCAGTGTGTGTGTGTGTGTATGTGTGTGTGCCCATGCATCTGTGAGATCTGCAGTGTGTGTGTGTGTGTGTGTGTGTGTGTGTGTGTGTGTGTGTGTGTGTGTGTGAGTGAACACATGCCTTTGTGGGATCTGCAGTGTGTGTGTGTGTGTGTGTGTGTGTGTGTGTGTGTGTGTGTGTGTGAGAGAGAGAGAGAACACATGCCTCTGTGAAATCTGCAGTGTGTGTGTGTCAACACATGCCTTTGTGGGATCTGCAGTGTGTGTGTCTGTGCGCGCACACACGCATAAGTGTGTGCTCCAAGGAGATTGAAGGGTGAATTATTGACAGTTACATACATTTGTGTGTGTCTAGTATGCACTATGGTTTTAAATATGTGTGTGTGCATGTGAACAAGTGCTACTTTTTACTTTCTGTGTGTGCACTTTACAATGCATCATTTTCATTTGACCATTACATTGAGAATGTGTGTGTATGAGTGTGTTTTAGCATACCAGACTCAGCTTGCTTGCACACTTGTAGGCTGTCTGTATTTGTGTGTGTGAGTGAGTGAGCGAGCGCGCGCGCGTGTGTGTGAGGGAGAGATGGTGCGCGCTCCTGTGTGCGCGTGCGTGCTCTGTGTGTGTGTGTGTGTGTGTGTGTGCGTGCGTGTGTGTGTGTGTGTGTGTGTGTGTGTGTGAGGGATGAGAGTGGGGGAAGGGTGTGTTTAGATGTGTGCGTCAGAGGTTTGTGGTGTGATAGAGAAAACCAGAATAGTCTAAATAAGAATTTATAATTTGCTAATGTTTTTGTAAAGCATGAGGATATATCACAATATTTCTGTTTAAATAGAGAATATGATTAATGTATTGAAGAAAAAATAAATACTTTATTATTTGAAAATGTGCTTTTATTCTGTATTTTAGCATTAATTTATCTACATCAGGCTCACAGCTGCAGCCGGCGCACATTATAACAGAGCTAGCGGTTAATGAACACTTCTGAGTCTACATAGAGAAAACCAAACCTATAAGAATATTGTTGTCACTTGACTGAAGTTAGTTCTGAATTTAAAGCAAGTAAAAGATTTAATCTGTTATAACACATACACTGACAGAGACAGACCTGTCAATACTGTCTGATGAGTACAATCAACTTCGCTTAGAAACAGAAATGCCACCCCAACCTATACTAGAGGCTGCAACCATTTCTTTAATATGGGGAAATTTGTGTTCCTGTCTTTTGGAATAGTTCGAATAATATTCCACTACCAATAAAACGGGTTTAAAATATTAATGAATACACAATTTAGGATCAAACACACCAATTTAAGCATTTACATGCACCGAGGAACCACCGCGCTGAGGGTCCTGCTGCACGCCTTCCCCTCGTGTCTGAGCAAATGGTACGGTCCCAGAGAACCTGTACATAGACGGGGAGAGCGCAGCGCGTGAGAGGACAGCGCTCATCAGCGGGAATGGCGGAGACCGTACGATCGCTATTCGACTACCGGGAGCCGCCGACGCTGGACAGCGACGGAGAGACCAGCAAACCGCCGCCGCCGCGAGGGTGAGGGAGTGAACATACTCGAAGAAAAACTGACATTTCCAGTGATGGCACCTACTTTAAAACTCAGAAAGCGGCTGCCTCATAAATGTAACTTTATCTGTTGCGACGAATTACCGCAATGACTAAAGTTTCAGGAATTGGTTTTAGGTAAAAAAGATTAGCTGAGCTCTATAAACTGTTCATTCATTCATTTAATAACGTCACCCTTTATTTACAAAGACCGTTATTGCGCTGTTGTCACGGGAATCAGATGTGTGTGTGTGTGTGTGTGTGTGTGTGTGTGTGTGTGTGTGTGTGTTATTTAAATGACCGACTGTCAGTGTAACTGATTCATTTCTAGTTTTAAAATAATGCAGGTCTTTAATCATCATTAACTCCGAATTAACGACTGACGTGTGTGTGTGTGTGTGTGTGTGTGTGTGAGAGAGAGAGAGAGGTGGAGAGAGAGAGTTTGAGTGTCTCTGTCACAAGGAGAGCGTGTGTGTGTGTGTGTGTGTGTCTGTGTGTGTCATGGGGAGAGCGTGTGTGTGTGGTGTGTCTGTGTGAGTGAGTGAGTGAGTGAGTGTAAGAGAGAAAGATAATTTGCGTGTGTGTCTGTAACAAGGAGAGAGAGAGTGTGTGTGTGAGTGATAGAGAGAGAGTCTGCATGTTTGTGTGTGTGTGTGTGTGTGTGATACAGAGAGAGAGAGAGAGAGAGAAAGAGAGAGAGAGAGAGAGAAAGAATGTGTGTCTGTGTCTAGGGACTGTGTGAGAGAGAGTCTGTTTGTGTCTGTGTGTGTTTGTGTGTGTGAGTGTCTGTGTCACAGGGTGAGTGTGAGTGAGTGTGTATGTGTGTTTGCGTGTGTCTGTTTGTCACAGGGAAACTGTGTGTGTCAGAGAGCATGTATGTGAGCAAGCGCCTGTGTGTGTGTGTGTGTGCGCGCGGGTGTGTGTGTGTGTGAGAAGAGATAATTTGCATGTTTGTGTGTCCATGGAGAGAGAGAGAGAGAGAGAGAGAGTAATTGGGAGACACTATGTATGAGAGTGTTTGTTTGTGTGTGTGTGTGTGTGTGTGTGTGTGTGTGTGTGTGTGTGTGTGTGAGAGAGAGAGCACGCAAGAGAGGGAGTGTGTGTGTGTGTGTGTATTTGCTTGTGTGTCTGTCATCGGGAGACTATGAGTGTGTGTGTGTGTGTGTGAGTGAGTGAGAGAGAGAGAGAGAGCACGCACGCACGCAAGAGAGGGAGTGTGTGTACGTGTGAGCAAGCACCTCTGTGTATGTATGTGTGTGTGTGATAGAGACAGAGAGAGAGAGCATGTGCATGTGAGAGCCGTGTGTGTGTGTGTGTGTGTGTGTGTGTGTGTGTGTGTGTGAGAGAGAGCGAGAGAGAGAGAAGGAGAGGGCTAGAGTGTGTGTTTGCGTCAGAGTGTGTGTGTGTCTGTGTATGAGTGCAGAAGGGAGGAGGGAGGGAGGGAGCAGAGCATGAGAGAAAGGAACAAGTACAGTGAGTGTGTGTGTGTGTGTGTGTGTGTGTGTGTGTGTGTGTGTGTGTGAGAGAGAGAGAGAGAGAGGGAGATAGTGAGTGTGTTTGCGTACGTATATGAGGCACTGCATGAGCAGGAGGGAAAGACAGTGTGAGTGTGCGTGACAAAGACAGACACAGTGTGTGTGTGTGTGTGTGTGTGTGTGTGTGTGTGTGTGTGTTTGTGTTTGAAAGGGGCAAGAGTGTTTGAGAGTGAAAGTGTGAGACAGAATGAGTGTGTTATTGCACATGACTGTAGATGAGAGGTGTGCATATGTGCCAGTCTTTGAAGAGAGACGTGTGTATATTTTGGCCTGGCTGTGCCTGCATTGAGGGGGCCAAATTTACACGTATACAGGGGCCGAGCACCTAAAATCACAACAGTTGTCATGAGGTAAACTGCCTGTTTGAATATGCAAATAGTTTAGAGGAAAAAACTATATAAAGGTTGCTATGATGGTGAAGTGTTTGGTTATATGTCAGTGCTCAGCATATATGAGTAAACCCCCTCAAAAATTATCTTTAAATTCATGTTTTTAATATGAAGCTATACAATATTATACTTGTGCATATACATTAGATTAGTCAGTACTGAGGCCAAATCTGGAGCTTATCTAGCAAAATAACGTACGATAACGGTCCAAAAACTAGTACACTCAAATTTATATGTCATAGAAAAATATTAAATACAAATTTTAAAAAGAGGAAAAATCAAGAGAAGCGGAAAAAGTAAAAAAAAAATTAGTACAAATTTTGTAGGTTGTAATTTATTTGCAATGTTTAGCTTGTATTTACTTGTATTTTCTCTCAATTTCTAAATATGTTTGGTGACAAATATTTTAATGAATATATCTGTTTCAATAAATCTGTTTTGTTTAAATGCATTAAAATACATTGCCTACATTCACTGAGAAATTGATAAAAATATTAATTTTCAAAATGTGGTGAACTCAATTATGCTGAGCGCTGTATAATCAAAATTATCATTACCTGCGGATTTAACAACTAAGCAAGGTAAATGGCCACTTAAGGCCCCAGGAAATCTGGGGGCCCCCAATAAATATCATGAAGATTAATTTATTCATAAACCAGAGATGGCCAAAGTTGGCCCATTGTAACCTTGATTTGGCCCACCATCCCATCTGAGAGGAGAGTGAGAATGATGGAGAGGAGTGCCTTTTACAGAGATCGTCATTTCTAATTTGATCCAACCTCATGTAAAATTTATTCATTCATTCATTTATTTTCAGCTTAGTCCCTTTATTAATCTAGGGTTGCCACAGAGGAATGAACCACCAATCTATCCAGCGTATGTTTTACGTAGTGGATGTCCTTCCAGCTGCAACCCATCACTGGGAAACATCCATACACTCCCATTCACTCACATGCACTATGGACAATTTAGCTTATCCAATTCACCTATAGCGCATGTCTTTGAACTGTGGGGGAAACCGGAGCACCCGGAGGAAACCCACGCAAACACAGGGAGAACATGCAAACTCCACACAGAAATGCCAACTGACCCAGCTGAGGCTCGAACTAGTAACCTTCTTGCTGTGAGGCGATTGTGCCCCCGTGACGCCCTTACATGTAAATGAATTTGATTTGATTTTTTTTCCCAGAGATGGGTTGCGGCTGGAAGGGCATTCGCTGCATAAAAACTTTAATAATTTAATAAGTTTAATAAGTTGGCGGTTCATTCCACTGTGGCGACCCTGGAATAATAAAGGGACTAAGCCGACGAGAAAATGAATGAATGAATTAGATTTTTTTAAAAATGTAAATACTGTCACTCGCCAGATAGAGGACTATGCAGAATACATCAGCAGGCAAATCAAGGCAAAAACTAGTGCAATTTTGTTATAGATTAGATTGTTTTGTTTTTACTGTAATAAGTTCATTATAAAATGTAACAAAATACTGTATTAGTTAATATAAAGCAATGTTTTCTAGTCAGTTTTAAACATTGTTAAATAAATTAGGAAATTACCCATGGTAAATACTTGCCTTAGGCCCATAGGCCTCGATCAAGTTTGGTTTTTGGCCCTTTGTAAAAAAAGTTGGACACGCCTGCTATAAACTATATATAACATTGTTTTCTATTATAATTTGTATGGCGAGAGTCAAACTAATACAATTTTAATGTAATAAAATAATATTATGGTGACGCAGTGGCGCAGTAGGTAGTGCTGTCGCCTCACAGCAAGAAAAGGTGCATTTTAGGACTGTTGGGCGCCAAAAATGTCCCAAAATACCATTCAAATGTGCTGATTTTAATGAGTGGCAATGTTTTGAAATTATCTTTTTTTTTGTAAACTTTAAGACGTCTGTGATAGCCTAGATCATTTTGTTTTGTTTCAGCAGAGAAGTAAAATAGAAGTAAGACATGTCTGTGAGATTATGCTTTGTTTTGTAGGGAAAATGACATTTATAATTTATCGCATTGATGACATTGAGTGGCGTTGATTCATTTCGCAGCTCTAGTGGATTCTAATTTACCTCATATCGACTGAACTGTAAATTAAAATTAAAGTAAAAAGGGTGCATTTTAAGACTGTTGAGCCCCGTGCCTGGAATATCTTAGGACCCCCAAATCACTAAATTCGCCACTGATTATCATTAGTATAAAAATGAAACAATATTAATTAAAAGTCCCCATTTTGACAGAATAAAAACATGTGGGATTGGGTGCGACAGAATGGACCATCTAAAAGGTAATATAATGAAGGTGTGTACTTTACACCACACGGTGCAGAAGACCATTTTAAATATATAGTGAAAATGTGTACGTTTATGTGTGTGTGTGTGTGTGTGTGTGTGTGTGTGTGTGTGTGTGTGTGTGTGAAATGTGTGTAAACGAAAGACAAGAGAAGTGTGTTTGACAGAGAAGAGGGGAGGGGTATGTGTGTTTGTGCATACGTGTGTGTTACTGAGGGGGCAGGGAACGAGTGTGTTTGTATAAGAGTGTGTGTGTGTGTGTGTGTGTGTGTGTGTGTGTGTGTTAGAGAGAGAGACGAGAGCAGCAATGTTTGGGTCTGTGTGTGTTTATGTGTAATCAATGGGAGTTGTGTGCATGTATAAAGTATAAAGCCAGAGGACAACTGAAAGTGTGTGTGTGTGTGTGTTGATTGCACCTGGAAGGCAGAGCTGGATGAACAGGTAGTATGTGTGTGTTTGTGAGAGAGCGAGGAACACATATATTGAGAGAGAGAGAGGGAGAGCAGATATAGAAAGGCTGGGATATTGAAATGTACACTGTGCATAAAGCTTTTATATATCTTTAGAAAGACAGTGAGGCCGCTTTACTGAAAATATTTTGAAGAAAAAAAAGAGAAAAAAATATGACTCAGAGGATGCTCCTTTTTAATAGTTTAGTCTCTTATGCTTGGCCTAATAATAAAAAAATAGGGTTCTAAGAAATTGTAAAAATCTAGCATTGCGTTATTTTTTATTTTGTGATATCTGCTTAATAGGTCTGACGTTACTTGAAGTGGCTTCTG